TTGGTGGCACATGTATGACTCGGGTGGTACATATTTTATCAACAATGTGTCACTTGGAAATTTCAAGATATCGAGAATATGGTAACAGGGCAAGTCGAGAGTGAACTCTTGACACATATCACCGGTCAGGACTGTTCGGAAGTGTTATCGGTCCGGCCGATAACCGGCCGCTGTTATGTCACACATTGAAAAGGTAAATGCACTTTCTGATATGCATTACGCGGCACGTATTTGCGTCAAAATCCTACATTTTAGACTCTAGACGTCTGTCGTGGAAACGAGTTCGCCACTTCGTCCAAATGGTTCCATAACCCGTCATATTGAATCGTTCGTGAGTCCTGACGTGAATAATGCGAGTTGACTCCCTAGCCGAAGAAACTAGGAAATAATTAACAATTTCCGGTACATTTGACAAACACTGTAAATCACAGCTGACGAAGTAATTATCGAACGTCTCGTTTCAATAATAATTTTTTTTTTCTTTGGCAATATTCTATGGCAATGTATCGACGCAAATCATCCTTGTAGGGACTCGAGGAGGAAAGAGGAGCGTTCGAAAGGAAGCTCGTCCGATCTGGGACCGAAAGCGAGAAACTTTTCTCAAATTTGCATTTCAAAACTTGATGGCTCGGAGGCTTCATAGGATATTCAAACGTTCTCGGCGATGCCAAAGAATCGCATTTATATGTGAGGTTTGGTCGTTTGAACTCATTCGGGGGTGATCGTCTGCTCCCGTCTCTACGGCTCCCCCAGGAAAAGGGAACGGGGGAAAGGGGTAGATGGAAAAAGAGACGAGCTCCGGTCGCCGTAAAATGAGACGAAAAGGGAGAATAAGGGCAAAAATGGCAAAAAGGAGCCGCCGTTCACGAAAATCCCATCTAAAGATAGCGATGACGCGAATGACAATGAGTCACGTGAGAGTACAAGGAAAGTGCACCTAAATTAGACGACTTTTTTTCGAAAATGCAATTGACCCTGCAGTTCCCGACTGACAAGTCTAATACAAACTGACAGCACCTGCCAGAATCGATATCTGCATCGAAAAAAACAGAAATCGATTTAGAAGATATAAAATGCGAATACGCGAACGTTCTCCACAGAAGATAGCGAAACCACCCTAGAACGAAACACCGCAAAAAAGGATATTCGGTTACTTTTAATACCGAAAACTTTCCATCGGCGTAATTTAAGCCTCTTTTTAATCGCTTAAAAGGTCCGAGTCGAGAGCCCCGTCCAAAATGAAATTCTGGCTGGACGGTGCCTCCATCTCCTACAATTAGGCGTTCGAAACGCTTTCAGGAAGATATGGTTTTCGTGTGCCCCCTCTTTTTTTTTTTTTTTTCTATTTCGAGGCCACGCCCTTAAAACACAGTTTTACGTCGGCCACCCCGCGAGGGTCGCATTTAGCGTCTCCCTTTTTCCTCGACGCTCCTAATCTCTACTTGACACGAACCTGATATTTCTGAAAGGGGATCGCTAGAGAAGTCCCGATCGGTATTCAGGCCGGACCGTTTCGGCACGCCCTGAAACCTCCAACCCCTTGAGATAGCCTATACCGGGGATAGCCCAACAAATTATAACTTCTCGCTTGCCTGGCGACGCTATTAGTTGCTCATAGTTTGGCAAAGGGTGGCATAATTGAATGCGCTCCCCTTTCGCTGAGGATCTCCTCTCCTGTGTACAGGACGAGGTAAACCGGGAAAACCGGGATGAAGGCCGGGACGGAGCTACGGTGTGCAACGCGACGGAAGAGGACGGACATACGTGTCGGAAGGTAGATGGGAAATTCGGAATTTTCACCCCCAAGGCCGAGTCATCCCCCGAGTGTCACTGGATTTCGCCACACCCTCTCGCCGAGGGGTGGCACCTTTATTTCCGGCTTCCACGTGGTGCCACCGTAATTTCCGCCCGTTTTTAATTCACTCTCGAGATTTTCCCGAGGGTACCACCGGAAATTCCCTCCGACCTCGAATCATACGAACTCGATATCGGCCGTGAGATCGCGCCGTATACGAAAAACGGATCCGTACCTAATCGGTATTTAAAAAGAAAGAATCCTCGGATACAACTTTCCCGAGGGATCGATTAATAAACCGGGGCATGAAATTCCCTCATCCGTTTTTTCCCCGGACTCTCGAAAGGATAAAGGCCCGCTTCCTTTTGGCGAGGAGCAAACTGCCCAGAAAATCGGACGATATGAATTTAATGGCACTTGATTACGCTTTAATGGAGCCTTCTTTGCATACGCGCGGCACACCGACGAGGCTTTAATGTATTCCACGCTACCGGCAATTTGGTCGCATATCGTAAAGTCGAAACGACGCTACGGACGCATAAGGACGCTCTCGGAATTCCGCGGATGGCCGATTTTATCGCGCGCGGAGATTTTCGATAAATCGATAGTCCAACGAGATATGTAGTGCCCGCTTCCGAGTGGAACTTCGACGGGGAAGAAAGGACCGGCTAGTCGGAAGAGTTACGCGTTTAATTTGCCTGTAATTACTTCCGTAACGGCTGGTCGGATGGCCCGGTTATACGACGAGCGTTTTCACCGATCGAACTGGTCCTCTCGCTCGATTTCACCCCGTAAAATTAATTGGACATCCGACAAATCCCCGATAGATTTCGCATCAGGCGTCCCGATCGTCCGCGCTGCGATTCCTATTTTCTCCCATGCGAAAAATAATCAGAGGGATCAGCGCTAATTCATGGTTTATTAATCGGTATCCATTTTAATTGCATCCGATTTAATTGCACCGTGGGTAAATTTAAATGGGAATCGCGATATTTGCTCGCAAAGTTTATTCGGCTTCGGGTAGGTTTTTATATCAGCCGGCACCGAGTTTATTGTTAAACGTATGCACCGTAAGTACGGTATACACTCGGTTTAAGTGCACTTTCCGCCGGTCGCAAATACCCTGACGGAATGCAAACCTGTCCGAAGAGTCCTGGGCAGGGCGTTTCGCGATAACCATAGCTGTAATCAAAGCAGAAGCTACCCCCATATCATCGTTATTACTGGCCCAGCCTCACCGCAATAAATTATGGGGGTTGGTCCTCCAATGGGCTCTCACCTCGATGGCCGTTCCTTGCCGACAGACCAAACACTAACGAGGCCTTGTCTCTCCGCCGTGACCCTCGCTACTGACGATAACTAACTCTAACCCTTCTCGAAAGGGCCGGTGATTTGCGGTTTACAGTCCTGTCCGTGTGTGCCAGCTCGATGAACCTGTACCTCACACGCGAACCCGTACAGTGAACGCGCGACCGAGGGTAAAGCGGAATAGTAATTTTTTCCACGTTTAAAAAACCTCCCCTGAACCGAAGAAATATTTCGTTAATTAATCATTTTCCCTCAAACTGGAATAAATTGGATGCAACGATTTTCGGAATGGACAATCTGAGTTCGAGTGAAATTATATGAATTAATTAAATATTTCTTTGCTGCGAGGAATTTTTTTTTCTTCCACGGTAGATGGATTAGCATGTCCCTTACAAATTGCTCGCGACACCTGAATTCGAATCGTTCGAAAAACCTTTAATCGAATATTATTCAGCGAAAGGGGGAATTCTCCCATAGCGAGGGCGACGATCGAGGGTGGCGGACAAAAAAATATTATCTCGCACCCCGGAGTACAGGATGAATACGTAAATTTCAGGGGTGAATGATCTACGGGTTTGGCCAGAAGCTGGGCTCACCATAGGCATTCCGGAAGCCATTCGAGCATCGATTTCGCGAGTTTGATGGATGTCTCGGTGCTCGAGCCTTCCTTTTGTTATGGAACACTTTCATGGGGGATAGTTTGCAAGATAGTTATTTACGCACGGTGCCTGGATTTATGGCGCGATGTAAGATATCGACGTATCCCGTGCACGAGTTAGACTTATGGGAGCCTGTAGCCGAAGCCATAAATCCCCCGTAACGCAAACTCACCGGTAACTGTTAAGAAAACGCATCCCGCGAAATAGAGAATTCCGTAAGTTCGAGTTGAATTATTTTTTTTATTCGCAATTTTTCTCAATTTAATTCCAAGTTTATTTCGAGGAGGCACTCGATGTGTTTTTTAAAGCCGTCGATCTTAACATATCGACGACGAGCTCTAGGTCTCGTTAAAGACGGATAGCTCCAATTTCTTGATTAGGGTGATAATAGCGTTAAAGTCATCTTTTGATAGGCCTACGAGTTTAATTCGATCCCATGGTCGAGGAGCTAATGGCCTGTCGAACGGATAGGGCGGAAATAATACGACAAAGAAAAACAGATTTTTGATCTTATCGGATAACGATTACACGCCAATCAGCGCCGGCGACAAAGACAAACGAGATGCATGCGTCATTGCGTGGGAAATCCTGGCTTGGGCTCGGACTGTTTCCTTCATTTTTTATCGCCCTCCGAGAAGTATTACAAATTTCATTTTGCAAATTGTACCGTGAATCTGCAAATTACGGGACGACCGAAGGAGGAGACTAACGTGGCTAACGAGCACCCAAGACGCCGCTTTCAGGGAAGGGACGTTAAAACGCTCATGGAAATCATTCCGAATTATGGAGATGAAGTCAGTCCCTGCCGACGGGTAGGTCGGAATAATTGGATTAAGAAGCTGAAGAGAATCGACACGGGCAATCGTGTCTCGCGGAATTTGCGGTTCGTTACTCCACCGCCTTAACGAACCGCCTCGCCTTACTTCGGACCTGACATTGCATCGGATCGTGCAGAAAATTATTACAGCGTTTGCAGCTTAAGAAGACGCTTTGTTTTCAATTAGAGGTGCTCTTGAAATCCCTCCTGTTACTAAATACAGGATATTGGAAAATATCGTGGAGGGAACGGGAAAAAAAAATCAGGTCTTGGGGGGCGATTTGTCATCCCCTTAAATCGAATCTCCAAGACGGTCTCGCTGGGGGGTGAAGGGTGTTCCTTGGTCTCTGGAATATAAATAACGCCTCTCGGCTCGCTTTCGACTCCCGTTGAATTTTGATGGTGAATTTTGATGTTGCAGATCCGTCGCCGCCGAGGACCGTCTCAGGAGTTTTCGAGGCCGAGGAAGTCGTGGAGAAGGAGCGAGGCCGCGCGTAATGGCGTCGCTTAGTATGGTAATGCCAGTCGGAGAGACACGCACCTGAAGAGCCCTAACGAACCGTACGAAACCCAGTGACGCGTGTATATTAATAATGATCCCGTCGGGGAACGGGAAACTGACACGCGTCCTGAGAAGTCAGTGAGTGTCGTCGACCGCTGCGTCGACGGTTGCAAAGCCGAGGCGATAACACGAGTTGATAAGTCGAATCAGAGGCGTCGCTTAGATCGAAGAACCGAGGATCTTCCTAGCGAATAATTAGCAACGACAACAGGAACGAATCCGAGGTCCGAATAATTAAGAAAAAAATGAAACATTAGAAATTAGCGAATTCGCGGGTGATCGTCGAAATTCCAATTTTTTTTAGAACGAGGGTACTTTATCGTACTTTATTTCGGGTAATCTGGACGGTAAAGGGTAATTCCTTGGTAATTCTTCCCGGGGGAATTAAGACCCGTGAATCACCGAATTAATTCCAAAGAGTCCGTTGAGTCCACTCATAAAGTGTCGCAATCGTTCGGCAAAGAGGGAAAATGCGTATCTCCGAGTTTTATTAGCCCACCGGGAGGGATTAATTCTTGAAACCTCGGTATATCCGAATGATCTCGCGGATGAGGTTTGACCTCGGGCAAACTTCATCCGAGCGTTCCGAAAAAGTGATGGTTTAGGGAGAAACGCGTCGTCGCCGCTGACGAGCTCGGCCAGATAATGGAGGCCTCGCTCGAATCTCCCCCGAATATTCTTAACGAGGAGGACGAAGAGTGAAGTGACGTGAAATGGACGAGTGCCTCGGCGACTTCGCGCCGATCGGGACCGATCGAAGCGCCGTGAAGTCGATCCCCAGGTGAAGCTGACCGATTGGCGATCGAGGAAGAGCTGCTCTCAACCGAAGATGTTCGGGACGAAGCTGCGAACGTGGATGGAAGCGCATATAGGGCGACCGAAGAAAAAGAAAGACCGCAAGAAGGGCGAAAAAGCCTTCGACTCGAGCTGCAACTCTCCCTGCGGTTACGGCGCTGATCGATCCCCGGCGCTTCACCAGGTAACTACATTTTTCCTCCAATTTTTGTTTCCCCTCAAGAACCTGCCAAAATTGCATTCAGAACCTTCCATGTCACTTAATTACACCTGGTCATGGCAACGTAAGGGGAGAAACGAGGCATCTCGGAGTGGGATGATTCGCCCGTTTTGATTACGGTATATTTGTAGAATTTTTCTAATTATGCAATATTCTCGGGGCATTCACGAGTCGGCCTTCGCGTTTCTCCCCGTTCCAAAGATAGCACTGGCGGTTATTTCCGTCGAGACCTGCCGAGAACACGTTAAAAATGATACGAGCTGTTTCCCTCGTGTGTCCAAAAATGGCGCGTTTTCTTGTACTTCCTCTTTCGGAGATCAAGTAGAAACGAGAAGGGAGTTTCGCTTTGCCGGCGATTCTCGGTATCGAGGGAGGAGATTCCCGTGCTCGATATCCCGGGTACGGTTTTAACGGCGACTCCAGATTAGCGATTGTCTCCTGGGGATTGTTCGCTCTTTGTGGACAGTGTCCCCTTTCGCCGCAGCCTCGATCGTTGCACATTTGCTCACTGCACGCGAAGCTTTGCTCGCTGCAAACGAACCCGGGACAGAGGGGATTAGTCCAGCGTATGGAAACATGCGCCATTATTAAGGGATACGTTGGCGCACATTGACGATCTCCTGGATTATTGCGTATGAATTTAATAACTGCCTCGGTTGCAAAACTTCTTGGAAACTTATCCACACATGTTTTTTCATACGATAATAATTATTTTAACGTCACGGTTATAACGCGTAACGGGAGACTCGGCTCAATTAAGGATGAATTTTTTCCTTTGTCAAATTTATATCCTTCGCTTTTGGGGGATTTTCTCTTTTTCGTTGTGGCCATAATTTTTTCCTGTACGTGGCATTTCTGGAATCGCATCAAATTAGGGTTCAGTTATGCGCGGGCTGGCCTCGAAAATCCATGATACCCCCCAAGGGTTGTTCTCGCTTTCCCTGTCCTCCCTTTCGTCGCCGTCTATTTTCCCTTCTCGCCGGCGTTTACTCATTGTACGTGGTCCTCCGCTAATAGACCTCCGTTCCGACCCTTTTGTGCGAGCCGGCTACGAGAGAGGATTTGCCATTCTCCTCCAAGGTCCGCGGAAGAAATTTCCACTCGGTCCTCTTTGCATCCGCTCTTCCGTTCCGGTGTCTCTTGGGGTCTGCCTACCCAATTAGGGGGCACCGTCGACCCTCCTTCCTCGCTGCTTTACCCCGTTGTACTTTACGTAAAAAAACGCCTCCCCATCTGTGAGAGAGCGCTTATCGAGGACAAACTTATTTACCCAAAAAAAAATAATTCATCTCGACACCATTTGCTCCCACTCGGAAATTTTTTCTTCTCTAATTTTCCAATAAATTAAATGTATACCCATCGCAATTAAATGTACATTAACGGTTTAACGTCAGAATTTCAACGTCAATAATAACGCACAGATTTTCCATTGCGCGGTGATATTTTATTTTATAAAATAAAACAAGAAGTCACGTTCTTCGAAATCTGCATTGTCTTCGCCTTCGTTCCCGTCAAATTCTCGTCGTTAAATTCCGATATTTATTTAACGTTATCGCCAGTCCCCTTCGCGGCTTTCCTCGGTGTTCCATTGTTCCTCTCTCGGGAGTTGTCTTGCCAATTAGAGGGCACTACGGAGTCTCCTCACGGTTTACCGCTTATGTACTCGCACTTCGCCTAGGTAAGGCGCCACTTACGCAAGAGGAGGTGTAATCTTGAAAAGAGTGCGAGGAAGTGGGAGAAAGTGCGAGAAAGCCCTGGAGATATCAAATCACTGGAGGAGGTCGTGGTAAAGGGATGCGGCTTCTTTTACGAGAGGATCGATCTCGGGCATTGCGACGATTCCGAAGTCGCTTTACGATTCTCCTCCCCCGGGACCGTTTCATATTTCCAGGCTCGATCGGTAATAGATATCGGTCGAATACACTTATCGGGGAATTGCTTTCCCTCGGCTGACCCGGATCGCTTTCTTCCGGTTCGCCGTGCTCGAGGGTGCATTTACGTCAAAGATGCGAAGCCCGGAGTGGCTGAATATCGAGAAATTTACTTATTTCCTATTTTCACCCGACCGAAACGCCGATTGAAATTGAAGCAATTAATATTTTATCAATTAATATCAAGGATTTCCTTTTTTAATTACCACGCTGAAATGCATATTCCTTTACCGCAGGTGCACCCGCTCAGCTCGCCGGCGAAAAACGTCGACGGGATCCACCTGCAGACCGCCAGCTACACGACGGTGACCACTTCTTCGGGGACTTCCGGGACTTCCGGCGGGGCCGGAAGTGTGAATCTCTCGTCGCCGGAGAGCGCCTACAGCACGGGGTACTCGACGGACGGGACTTCTCCTGGGACGAGTTTCCCTCCCGAGTATTATATCAACATCAGGACGGGCACGCACTACTTCCAGAGCGGCAAGGCCAGGGCGAAGAAGGTCGGCGAAGGACCGCAGCCAGGGTCGCAAGGATCGCAAGGATCGCAAGGATCGCAAGGACATGGAAGACCCGAAGACCGGGGCCAGACCACGGATTGCGCGAACACGGCGAATATGACCAAGGAGAACAAACCGAGCAGGGACGTCAGGACGAGCACGCCAAATAAGGTGAGACCAGAATCATCGAGGACGAGGTGGATCCTTTAATCGCCATCGAGCTAAATGGCGCCGGGAAAAATTTAATTAGGCTGGATGAACCCTGCCGGATGCAAAGCAAAACGCCGAGGTTTACTTTAAAAAATAATATTTACAAGGTGGCTGCCGTTAATTATTTATAAGGAGACTTACGAGGCGTTTTAAGGGGTCTTGGGAAGGAGAGTCGGAAGGTGGGTGTCTTGGTTATTTTCTGGTGATCCCGGGAAAATTGGAGAAGGGTAGTTTGCGTAGACTGTTTTGATTGGGGAACAGGTATCAGGAGGATCGGAGCAAGGATTCTGGATATTGGCGTAATCTGTCTCGGAGGTCCTTTAATCCTGACGAGATGGAGCTTACGGAAATGCCGCATCTCTGGGAATCGGGCACTCGGGATGCCGAAGAGGTGCAGTATCTGGGAATCGGTTTCGATATTCCTTGTATAATGAGAGAAAGCGACCAGGCGCGGAAATGGAATAGATACGTATCTCGCAGGTCCTTTAATCGCGACGAGGTCGAAGGCGGAGTCCAATTGCAGAAATTGGACGCGAGGGATGTGTCAGGGCGGAGGAAATAATACCAGAGAATTACAACGCCGGTTCTCGTTGTTGGGGATCTCAAAGTAAAGGACCTGGCGCTCTTCGAGGGGAAGCCGAGCAATCGGGCGCGGAAGACGAAGAAGAGATTTCAAATTCCCCGTTGAAGGTAAAAATAGAGGCAACGATGCGCCTTTCAAAGCGCAAGGAAATATTCCCGACTAAATTACATAAAGGGACACCTTATTGGACTCCAGAAAATTGCAACCGGAAGAAGTAGTCGAAGAGCCATCGCTGTCGCGAAGGTTTTCGACGATTTTCTTTTTGATAATGGAATTTCCGTCGGGCTTAAAGGACCTTCGCTACCAAACTTGAAACCCGAAACTTGTAATTGACTTACTCGGGTTCCTCGGAGTCTCGAGGTCTGTCTAAAACGTCGTCTCCTGGACGCCGGGGCGTTCAGACTTTGGCGTTACGAGTTTGCCTTCGCTAATTACACCGACTCTCCTCAGACACAAATGTCTGATGGGTTTCGGAGTGGAAAGTTACTCCAATCGAACGGTCCTTACCCCTACCACGAAGTGTCATATTTTAAAAAATTCTTTGCTTCTCTCCCAGAGATATGAAATCTGATATTAATATTCATATGAAGAGCATCTATGCAAAAAACGAGAAATATCCGTCCGAATGAATGGAAACGCGGAAGTTGCAATTACCGGGGCCAAAATGCAGCCCGAGATTAGCATCGTCTCCCGAATGCATCTTTTTTCACTTTGAAGCCCTTTCCTTCGGTGACAGGGCTTTGACGTTGCAACGGCGTCGCTTTGATGGAGGTGCAGCGCCGGTGCGGCGTCTCGTTGCATCGGTGCGATGCATCAATTTTAGAGCACTGCTCGCATCAATTTTAAAACGACCCCCCTATCGCCCGGGGCTCTGCCACCCTGGAAATGCAGCTTGCACCCAGGGGTGGTTTCGTGAAAACGACGCTGCACGTCCCGGTGCATCGGTGACGACTGCAACTGCATTTTGCGGGTCTACCAGATCATTATGCATACATATAATGCAATAAAATTTAACTACGTATAATGCATATTCAAGGAAAAATTCGCCACGAGAAATTGCATCGAAATCCCACGGCTTGCATGCGTGCATTAACAAATGAGGCGAAATAACGTCTTCAGGGGATTTCGGGACGCTTTTGCGATACACGCGAAGTTTCTCATTTCGTGCACAAATCGCAGGGGAAATTATCGACACGGCTTGCCGGATCGATCGGTTAATGGCGCCTCGTTGCAATCCAAGCTGCGAAATTTGACTCCCGAAAGGAAATTAATAAAAAGTAACGAGAATGGTGCTATCGGACGGGATTTACGCGAACTCGGGGAACGGCTTATCGGGACTGTTTCGGATTTTTATTTCTCCCTATCGCAGCCATTTCCGGGATAATCGGACGGAGGTGCAATGAAAAAAAAACGAAAAAAAAAAACGGGAAAAGCAGGATAAATCCGAGCGAACACGTGGAGCTCGAGCTCGCCTATAATCGAATTCCCTGATAGAGCGGAAGGATTTGCCGAGATTTACGCCTCGGCGAATTTAACGGGATGTAATTTATAACAAAATCGTTGACGTTGGATGGAATCGTTATCGAATTCGCCGGCAACGCCCTCGTCGGTTCGCGTCAAAGGCAACAAAGCACGAATCCGCTCGGAAAAAGGAATCTCCCTCAGAGGAAAAGTTCGATTTCTCGAGTGGCGGAGGTCTCCGCCTCCCTCGCCCTATTTCTCTCTTATCGAGCCCCGTCCACCCGATAGAGCCAGACGATGCAATCGAAACGATCTAATTACCGGTGATTGCGGCCTCTCGCGAAAAAGAGCCAATCCAAACAAAGGTTCCAATTTCCAGAAGTCCACTTCGCCGGGACGATTGCGTCCTCTCCAATTTTCGTTTCGCCGCCAAAGTGAAATATTTCCCCTTGGTCGAGCGACCGTTGTCGGGTAATAATTAAAAATCGGTAAAATACGGTAAAAGAGGAAAAAAATATAACCAGCCGATTTTCCGTCGCACGGATGAAAAGGGAAAAGAACGGAATACATCGGTCGCAAAAGCTGAGTCGTAAAATCACTTATCACATTCCTAGTTAAATACAAGGTAGTTACGGGTGAACTCTATTTTTTTTCTCCTATTATTTTATAAAATCCTCTTCGTGGACTCTTGAAATTGTTCTCCTTGAATGTCTAAATTTCCTCCTCAGAATGGCGGCATCCAGGCCAACCACGCGAGCAAGCAACCGGCTCAGCAGACTCCGGCGCAGCAGCAGCAACACCCCCAGCAACAGCAGGAGTCCTCCCACCGAAGGACGGAGTCCTGCACCGTGGACTCGACCAGGAAGAGTTTCTCCGTGCCATCTTCTATTCCTCCTCCCTTGGTCTCGCCTCCCATCCAATCGCCCCGGCAACGATCTCGCATCCGGACGAACCCCTGGCTCTCGGCCAACTCTTCGGGGTCCAGCACGGCCGGCTTCAAGTCCAGACTGACCCTCGACGAGACCAGCAGCAGTTCCGGTCTGAAGCTGACCGAGTCCTCCGGGAGCGCCAGCGACGTCAACGTTAACAACCGCCGGGAGAACCAGGCAAGGAGGGAATATCGACAGGAGAGTCTCAGCGCTGGTCGTAGCCCGTTAGTAAACCAGAGTGAATTATTTCTATCGCTAGTTTCAACATAGATATTTAATTACGCTTATTTGTGGATGCCTGGAATAACGGAGACGCGGTTATTAGGGAATTTTTCGCTATCGGTTCTCCGACCGGGCGGATTGCTCGCGAGATATGATGATTTATTCGTTGCTGGATGTGTTTTTTCGTTTTTTAACGGTACGACCCGAGTTATCAAAGGAAGCTTCTAATTGTCTTCGAGAAAGTTTGGGCTGGATCTACTCGGAGGAAATGAAAAGAAGTTAGCGGTACGGGTTGAAAGGAAGGTGTCAAAAGTCTGATAAAAGGCGCGGCGGAGTTCCGCTATGGCGAAGGAGCTGCATTAAAATATGCAAATTAACGGCAGGGCCATTACGCGATATTTCTTTAATTATCCTGGAAACTCGCCTCATTGAGGGGAGTTCCAAAACTTTTCTTGCTTGTTATTTAGTAAGAACGCGGAGTCGTAAATCTATCAGAAGTTCCTTAGAAAGACGGTAACCCCCTCAGGGGTTTCGACTTTCCGCGAGAGAGGATAAATCAAATTTTTAATCACCTGGAGAGTTTATTCGGCATCAAAATTACTCGTTTCACTTTTATAGAGAACAGGGTCTAAGGACGGTAGGGGGTATTTGAATATTGCAATTTAAACAATCCCATCAATTCCGGCTATTTTAATTCGGCAATTAATATCAGCCCGACACTGACGAATATCTCTTTCCAATTTCCCCGCGAGGAAGGAGACCCGTTGAAGGGGTAAAGCCGGAACGTTGGATTAATTCGAATCGTCTAATTGACATTTATGAATTGGACCTCGAAATTGCTTTTCCACCGGGCGATGTCTATTCTAAATATTTCCTTCCTCGCCACTTATTCTCGCATGACAAGTCGTCGAAGCGTTCCGTAATGGTCGCTCGGAGTAATACGAGTTGAGTTATTTTCGTCAATTCTTCACTTTTCAGAAAAAAAAAAAAAAAAATAAATGTGAAGCATAATTTTCACACGTAAAATCGATTCACAGGTCGGGGGATATTTTTTCATATTTGTATCCTTCGTTGTCGGCAGGATCAACCAGAATTGGAGGATCTCCCAGGGGATGGAGGCGAGGCCGAAGATCCCCCTCGTCCTGCCTCGTCGCAGCAGCAGTAGCTCCTCGGCATCATCGGTGACCCGGAGTGCTCGCTCGTCGGAAGACGACATCACCCTGAACGAGATGATGGGAAAATTCGACGAGAGCTACGTATACGAAAAGGAGACCGACATCCTGTCGGACAGCGATCCGACCGACTGCGAGGACTACATAGACTCTCTGTCGGACGTCGACACGAGTCGAGACGGTGGGGACGAGAACGACCCCTTCGAGAACGACGACTTCGACTACATAGACAACGGGTCCTTCCTCGACCTGGACAACTTGGAATCCTCGGGTAAGCTCTCGTCCACCTGGAAACGTCGTTTGAATTAACATCGAATCGATACCATCAAGGCGAAGTTGGAGAAAATTCGATTTCTAATTTGGAACATTGACGACCGCAGGGGCCTTCCAGAACACGGGTCACTGTACCTACTTCACGTTCACCAGCGAGCTGAGTCGGCGAGGAACCAGGCTGAGAGAGTCCTTCCTGAAGAGGAGGAGCAAGGAGGACGCGGCGACTTACAAGGCAGGCAGCGCTCGGAGTAGCTGCAGGCGGCCGAGCATCAGGCACAAGAAACTCGACGAGAAGCCTACCGAGAAGCGGAAGAAACGCGCCTCGCAGCGCAGGAAGCCGCCCGCGGACAAGTGCGACGAGGAGACGGCGAATTTGAACCGCATCCTGGTGGAGCGGATGTTGCTGAAGAACTCGGGCTTCAACCAGCTGAGCCGCAGCGTGGGAGGCACCCCGATCTGCCTGCGCCGAAGGAGGCACGACGTGAACAAGAACGTGTCCCCGGCGAAGTACAGCGAGACCAAGACGCCCGTCTCGACGACGGCGGTGATCGAGCAGGAGGTGGTGAAGAGGCGTTCCAACTCCGTCAGCTACGTCAACGGCAACGTGGTGCGCAGACGGGTGACGGACGACACGTACATGGCGACGTTCGCGTCGGAGATAGCGCTGATGGAGGCGGACAGAGAGGCCGATCGGAAGTACCGGGAGCTGATCCTGGAGGCGGAGAACATCCTGGTGAACATGAAGAACCACTCGTCACCCGTGATGCCGTCCCCCCGGAAGATCCACAACGGGCTGGCGAACAAGCGGGTGGAGCTGATCAAGAACACCGAGCTGAACATCGAGCTGGCCCTTTCGAAGAGCAGGAACTCCCAGCCGGAGCTGCAGAGCGGGAGCATCAAGGACCTGGAGCACACGAGTCCTAAGAGGCAGTTCGCTCAGGCGTGCTCGCCCATCCACAGGTTCATGGAGAGGAATTTACCCGGCAACGGTCCGGTTTCCAGGGAGAGCTCGTACAGGCAGGAGGGGTCCAGGTGCCCGGGGTCGCCGATGATGCCCAGGAGAACCCCGCAGAACTCGCCCAGCAGGAGCCTCGTGCAGGCGCGGATCAGGATCAACGATCCCGAGACCAAGGAGGGCCCGAGGTCCCAGGTGACTCTCACCTACAACGGGGTGGCTTCCTGTAACTCGAACGGGCGCAGGGTCGAGGTATCCGATAGTAACCAAAATCATTGCATAGCTTCTTCGGCGAAAAGCGATCCTTCGGGGCCCAGGAAGGACGGGCGAGCGACGAGGACGACCAAGGACGAGGGTCCCACGTCCAGCTCGTCCGATTCCGAGGAAAAGTGCGACGCGAGGCGGAAAGCTCCGTTAATGACGTTCAGGTGAGTGATAGGCGAAACGCGAAGACGTTCTCGAGGCGTCTCCTGGACCGTCGATCGAGGACATCTCCTGGGAGTTCGGAGACCCGTGAATCCCGACTTCTTGCAGGTCCGTCGACATGGGCCCAATTAGAGAGGGCTCGTCGTACTGTCCGCAAAGCGAGCCGGTCAAGAGGAAAGTTTACGCCGGCAGTGCCACTTATGGGAGGATACAGAAGACTTTGGGGGAACGGCGCGCGATGCTGAGAAATTCCGACGGAGACACGGCTACCGATGACACGGGTACCTAGAATTAAAGACAAATCTACGTAAACTCGTGCCCTATAGATTTTGCTATTGTTATCGATACACCTTTTTCCAAAATGTTGAATTTCGAGGGCGAGACCTGCATCGTCCGGCTCGAAAGACTGGATTTCTCGCACTATGCCACTATGCCACTATGCCACTATGCCATTTCCACTTAACTAACGCATGCCCCCGCGTCTTATATCGCGATAGTCCCATGAAGTCGAATGGCCATTTAGAATGTAAGTCGGCGCATTTATTTGCAGACGACTCGAGGCGATCTCTGCGAGAAAAAGTGGCTCAACTCCGGCAAGAGAGGCTGGCGACGGGAGCCAGCTTGAACGTTCAAGACTCGCAGATGTTTCAACACCAATTGTCTCAACTGCGTCGGCAAATGCTCGTGCAGACCATCGAGGGACTGAAACGCAGCCTGGAAGACCAATCCGCGACATTGAAGCAGACCTGCTTGGAGCCACATCTGAGCGACGAGATACCTTAGAGCGCGTTATCCTCGAGCCGTATTAAACTGGCTTTTATATCGCCGCCGATGAAACGTCCAAAATGGCGCAAGGTACTCTTCCCTCTTCGCTGGGAAGAGTTCCTTATGCATTCTTGGGACTACGCTTGAACGTGCAATTTAACTCAGCGGACACTCAACGCGGACGAAAACGAGCGGAAGACTCGTCGGCCAGGCGATCGTGATTCCGAAACCGTACAGATATTTCGTATAATTAGACTATTTTTGCATTCGCATCCCCGGATCATGAGGAATCACGAGGCGAGCAGACGCGAGGTAAAGGATGCTTAACGAGTGACCGGATATATTTTTCTGCCGCTGTACACGAAGAAAGGGGGTCGATCAAAATTGCGACGACGCATATTTTCTGGGCGATTTTGCGCGTTGTCCGTTCGGTAACTTCTAAGGGATAATATTTTTTACGCGGCCGGATCTTCGAGAGGGGTCCGAGTCGGTCCAATTAGCGCTTTCATCGCCGTTAGTTTCCCGAGGTTCTTCGGTGGCTCGCAAAATTGACTTCTCGTGGTCTCGCTTCTCTAAAGTCCGGAAAGCCCTTCTTCTATCTCGGAGCGAAGCTCCTTCGCGAGAGACAAAGGCTCTAGCGAAACCCGGAATTTCCATATTGTAGTTGAAAATCGGCAAAATCGAGATCTTCCTTCGTTTCTCCCCGACCGATGGCGACGCATTTGCAACGCGCGTTGAGGGATGCCGAGGGCGCCTATTCGAGGGTGAATCCATGAATTTTTGTCCGGAAAATCCCTCGTGGCTGCACGCGAGATTAAAGCCGTATCGAAATCTTAGGTCGTAGGGATCTCCCTAAAGGTAGAGACATTTAGCGTATACGTAGTGAGTAGAGGACGCGAAATTGTAATCCAGTGTCCATTAGGGGGCTAAGTACTATTATCGCGAACCCACTGAATACGGCCCGGAGAAACCTACCATCCGACTCGTTCTATCGTAAAACGTTAAACGCACAGTCTTGGAACAAGGATCCACCGGTTGCTGACATCGGACGAGAGGAAAGCTCTTGTTTTTAGCAGCGCAAAAACTCTTCGAGAGACTTCCTGATTAGGGAAGGGCTCCCCTCTGGTGATCCAGCACTTCTTAATCACGATGTTCCTATTCTAATCGGTACCTTGGAGATACAGTTGAGTGGATAGGAAACGTAGTCTCTTCCCTCCCTAGATAGATAGAATGAGCACTTTCCCTACCGTATACCAAAGATAGTCGTAAAGAGTAGACGTAGATGCTGCGCTTAATTGTATGACGTTAAAACAGGAAAAGAAGTACCGATGGTAGACTAGGTACTTTAGACAAGTACGGAATTCCTAGAACGTCTAGTTTAGATTTCGTAGAGGGTCTTACGATTCGAGTTGCGTCGGATCGTACTTTTTCCTTTGTCGTCGTTCAGGGTCTCTGTCGGTCTGCAAAATAATTTCTTAATTATCGTTGAGTTTCGGAGAGAGAGAGCGAGAAAAAATGGTGTAATCAGTTTTTGAGTGATTATTTTTCGTCAGGGAAGCGATTCGTGTTATCTCGTGACTCTGGTCTCGCCAACACTTAGAACGGTTTCAGTCATAGTGATATTTTTGTGAGAATAGACTGATAGGGTTATCGGTGTAACTATAGTCGAGGCGTTAGTTGCGATAACTTTTTATGTGATTTACGTTAGGAGGTTCTGAGAGAACGAAAAATGGTAACGCGCACACGGTATTTATTCGCATTAGGCATTAGAGAAAAGAAACTCTAGAGGAATCGTTAGGATTAGTCAACTATTTACTAGCGTATCGGTTTGTGCCGATTGAGAAACGGCATCGTATTATTTCGAATCCTTGCGAGAGACTTGCGAGAGAGATCCATGTCCCGAGGGTCTCCGGAGACATTTCAGCCGATCGGGAGTATCTTTGCATCATACTGGGAAAAGAGCTTTACGTTCTGCGTCGGCATATGTTGTAGTTGACTCTTAAATTTTTATACTTCGACCTTGTAAATAATTAGTTTAATGTTAAGTGGAAATGATGATTTTGTAATTATTCATAAGTTGTGCTCTCCTTAAGCGAAGGGAATCCTTTTATTGACTTTCTATTAACGGGAAACATTCCACGCATGGGTAACATTTCGAGATCGAGTCAATGTCGGATGCATTTAGTCAAATTCCAATAACCGATATACGAAGCAGTCGCCGATAACTGACACAAAAGATTAATTTGCAGACGGTTTGCTTATCCCACTTAATTGAATTCGTCGGACAGAATTGGCCAATTAAATCCGAACGAAGGGAAAACTATTGTTGCAATCGATATCGCATGTGTAACAAACCATTTGCAAAATTAAATGGTTTTTGTATATGATTATGAATAAATTATATTATGTCGTTGGATATATATGAATCCTCTTTCTTATTTACTTTTGCCTGCTTCGATGTCGACGTATTTCCTCTCATATTATCCTTTACTTGACTCTCTGGAACTTATGTTCTATTTGATAAATTCCGACGGGTTGTTTAATTTTATCACAGTAATCGGCCCACTGATTCTCGCTTAAATCTACCTCCGTGAACTCGGTTCCATTGTCGATAGCTTTCGCCACCCACCCTTCTCTCGCAGAAAAGTCACAGGGCTCTATCCCTCGGCAGTCGAGCGTTACAATTGTTTTAAATTTCTCTTGATCGTCATTCAAGTAACTCTTGATAGAATCCTCGATAATACTCATGGAATTCTCCCGCGCACATAGTTTACATTTGCTCACAAAATGGTTAACGGCAGTTCCCCGCTGTGCAGGAACTGATACCGTCAGAGACACGTAGTTCCACTTCTCCGACACCTCTCCGCAGTTGGAACAACTGAATTTAAAATACCACTGGAAGTCTGGGCCAGAGGGTCTGAGTTCTTCTATATTCTCCAAAGTTGCCTTAATTTGAACTACTATTTTAACCATTGTTTTCCTTTTCCTTTACTCCCAATGCAATTACTTCCTTCTAATTTCCTCAAAACCAGGTTCTCTTGTCACTTGGGTTTGTTAACCTACAAGTAAACATATCTAACGTTTTATTTTCGACCAAGAATAAACTCGGGAATGTAAAATGAATTATTTATAATGGAAGAAAAAGTTGCTATTTACGGTAATCAACTGATAGGAGGTTAAATTTTACATTCTTTCGTTGGGTGCGTTCAGACAGAGATGAGTTGGGAGATTGCTCACGGGCAGGATCGTGCGATCGCATCCTGTGCTGCCCTCTGGTTTCGTACGTTAGCTTTCACCGTTTTTTGCCTCAAGGGCGGCGCAACGAATTTCTCATAGGAGCTCGCACACTCGCGATGGCGGTACCGTCTACCAGTCGCCGTTGGTGGTTCACGTACTCGTGGTGGTAATACCATGCGGCAGTTGACGGTGGTGGCTTACCTACGCTTACCGACACTGCTCACTTTCAACTCATCTCTGGTATTACCATCACGAGTACATGAGCCGCCAACGGCGACTGCTAGATGGCACCGCCATCCGGAGTGCGCGAGCTCCTAAACGCAGAAGAAATGTAGAAGTGTAATAAAGCAAGTTATCGAATAATAACACTGAGTATGTTTAATTAGACGAGCATGTCTTGCGTAAGTAAAATACCCTTTCCGAGTGAAATTAAAACGAGGACATGTAACCAGGACAACTGGCGGGGAGAATTTCGATTACAACGAACACTCCCAAACCAGTCCAGGTATCAGCTTAGTTATAACAGTTTAATTAGACAGGCGTTACACCCGATATTACAATCGCTGGTTTAGTACAGTTGTGAGAACGATATAAATTAGAGAATATAAATATAGCGATTTGTAGCTTTATCAAATTCTATGTCATCCAAGCGAGGGACGCCTCCCGAGAAACCGCTAGCTTGCGAACCGGAGCGCGAATTCGTACGGTAAAAAAAAAAAAGAAAAGAAGAGAAAACAAAGCCCTCGAGGTCGGTCTACAGGGTTTCCCGCTACCGTGCGGAGACTTGCGGCTTCTCGTGAGTCTGTGTGTATACAATATAATTCTATTTCTTTTGACACCTCTTACCGCAGTGGGGGGGACCATCACTTACAGAGTAACGACAAAGTCACACGACGCTCACTCACACGGAATTGGAGTCTCGATAAAAAGAAATCCCATTTTGTGTGCCTTTGACTTTCCTCTCATAAAAAAATACTGTTAAACGGCTTCGACGATCGGAACGGAATCCGCGTTCGGACGAGGGCACGTACACGTCTACGTATGTACAAAATACGACCCGCCGTAGACAGCGTGTCCAAACCAAGTCCTAATAATTGGCTATATAATGTATCTAGTACGAATATATACTCATTACGTTTCGTCAATGCGATAATGCGATCACGATGATAGAAGTGACTACAATGGCGTGGATGGTAATACAAACGGAGAACGGATGACGACGACGATGGGGGATGTCGATGAAATACGCCGACGATGTCGATAAGAACGGATACGGTAATAACGATAGCGATAATGATATGCCCTTAACGAATACCCTAGGTGCAGGATGGAATACACGTAACGCAAAGATCGAAATTCCCGCCGAGGGGCGAAAGCTCTCTACGATAATAGGGATCCATAACGTACGACAGAACCAAGATAAATGGGTATCGATGCAACGAAACGTCTCTCTGCGTGCACGTGGACGTAATCGGACGTAATTAATCAGGTGCGAGGTTGTGTACGTATCTTTGAGCGACTGTCAAAACTAAATCCAAGAAATGTGCGCTTTCACCTTGACCAACCTACGCCCGATGAATAATATTGTCAGTTAACGTCGGAGGATATACAAAGATTCTACGTTTAACCGTAACTGGAGAAACTAGTCGTACCGATAGCAACTATTGTAGGCTCCTACGATATTTTGGAATAGCGAACGCGTCGCATCTCGGGAGCCCAGAAGCATTGGAAGAACGAAAACGAGTCTTTCGTTGCCCTCTTAACCGCGGAGAGATTATTCCTACCAACGATGTCGAGAAGAACATTTAACTTGAAACATCGACTGGTTAAACGTATACGAGTTCCTCCATGGAAATTTACTCAAGTAGGCATCACTTCGCTAGAAACGGTTCGGTTTCGGTCTCCACTTTTGCACGAGCCTTTCGCATCCATCCTCGGCACACAATACTCTACGTACGTACATTAATAATCTTAATCCTGTAAGTTTTGAATTCGGTAAGTCTTATGGTTAACGGTTCCGTTGAAAACTGCTCGTCGATTGGGTCGTGGCGTCGACATGGCGTCGCAAGTGTCCCCGGAGTTGATAGCATTAAGCGCGTGATAACGGATTCGGACGCTGGACGAGGACCAAGAGGGTCCACACCATTGTCCTATCACTGTACAAAATAATTTGTACGGTTGTAACGTTCCTTATCACGCGTACATACGTGCTCACTCCCTCGAGCTGGACGAAAGCGAGTCTCGCGTGGCTTCTTTTTGGTAAAATTTCAATCGTAGAAAACCTTTTTGTAACCTCAGCAGCCAATACCTGCAGGTAATGATCACTTTCTCGTTACGCGTATCAACGTTACGCGCAACGATCTTGCGATCCTTTTTTTTTTCTCGAGAGAGAAGGCTCCGATAAGGATCAACGGGAAGCGCTCCTTGCGTCCACGCTATGCTTCTTGGTTCGTGTACTTTCTGCAAGGTCGTCCGATATTTAAATAAACTCTACTTGGAAATACGTATATACCGGTATTCAGAAAGAGATCGATCCTGCGTGAAACTCGTCCTTAATGGCTCCGATGAGTTCGGGCCAGGGTGAATGCTTTTCTGAATACGGCAGTTCGTCGCTCTTGATTTACCCTCCGCCCGTAAAGGAGAGGATCCATTAGAATACGAATCGAGATTTACAATCGCCGAGTTTCGATTCTCTAAAGGTTGTGTAGTAGGTAATCTTTGGTCATCCAAAAATGCCTATCGATATATTATCGACCGCCTGTTTCGAGGTCGGCGCAAACCATTTTGTTATACATTATAATATACTTCTAGGATTTCAAGTTCCGAGCCAGTCTTGGTCAGACGTCGACCTTGGCGCATGCACGACATTACTTTTGGATCACCGACTCGTAAGACTAGCAGCTCGAAATAGGACTCACGTTTCCAAGTGCAATTTCATTACAGTCTTAATAGGCCTGCCTTTAGCGTGAGTCAACGACTAAGTCGATGATGCAAATTGCCCGTCTTGTCCACGTTATTTCAAAGTCATCGCGAGAAGGGACAATTTCAAGAAAGTAACCCGGTTTAGGTGGCCTCTTTGACTTGGGAATTCGACTTGAGAAAGGAACGAGTCTCCGCCTGATATCGACGAGAACGACGGTGAAGGCCAAAATGACTCCTCGCGGTCAGAGTGGCCTTCGTTGACGACGCGTCAGTACTTACTCTGGGTAAGTAAATCATTTTAGCATATGCCTGGAGAGAAATACACTGATCTAGTATGGGTCGACACGTATCATTGGTAAATCTAATCGGAATCCTCCTCGATAGTCGGCGGTAGCATGGCGAGATGCTGAGGGCTCAGCAACCCCCTGGAAAGTGCGTACTCGGCGAGGGCTCGATGACAAAACACATACTGATCTGGCATCTGAATACTGTAGGCTCTCTGTGCTCGGATTTTCTCAACGGTCCCTCGAATATCTACCGTCCCGGTATCTTCGAGTCGGGATATGCAAATGTCCAAGGTACAAAAAGTGCCTGAAAGTACACGGTACCGTATCGATTAGATTTTCCCGAAGACCGAAACGTTCACCCGCAGTTTATTGCGGATATTTATAGTTCTATTTACCGGTTCTTCCAATCCCAGCACTGCAGTGGACCACGATGGGTGGTCCCCGAGGATGGCCGGCCCACGTGTCACCTCTGCTGGCCAACATTTTACTTTGCTGTTGTCTCACTAGGGATAGAAACTGCAGGAGTGCCCTGGCTGACTGAGGTACACCGTAATCCGGCCATGCCGTATACAACATGTGGCAAACTTCTCTGGTTTCTTCAGTCTGGGGCAAAAAGAAAGGCAGAAATTTATTAGCCTCAAGGTCGCGGAACGCGGTTATTCCTTGAAACCTGTATTTTATTTTTGGTTAGACCCGTTTCGAGAAATAACGCACGAAATATAGCTCACCTTGTCGTTTGTGAGAAGAAGCATTGATATCGTGTAATCTGGATTTGTGCAAACTTCAAGGGTAGTTACAGTGAAGCCACCCGCGGATTCTTCGTCCCCTGGCTTTGGGCCCCAATACTGGGCGCATTTTGTCCGGCCCCGTTCCACCACTCTGGAAAGCACATTTCCGTAACGTGAGAAACTTGCTTTTCATTAAAGCCAACATTGGGATTAACTGTATAAATTTTCAAGCCATGCCTACCTGGTGGTCATGACGACCACGAGAGTTTGCTGCTCCCACACCATCCTCCAGAAGTCACCGCAGGTTTTAGGAAGGGGTCCCTGAGTACTGATAAACGCATTTTTCTGCTTGTACCCGTCAACGAAGTTAGCGTTAATGTAATCGGATGTTGGATTCCCATCTATTTGAGAAAGGCACACCCTACTGTGGTCGTAGCAGAGAACGTCGGTGTATCTGTTCTTCGGCTGGTTCGGCCTCAACCTTGAGGAAAAAAAGAGATGGATATTAATTAATAAGCGGAAAAGCTCGATCGTCCCAGGAAAGGATCTCGGCGATCCTTACTTGGCATTGTTGAAGGAGCCATCGGGGGGTCTCTGCTTGATCTCGGCGTACTCCGCTACGAGACCGGCTCGTCCCCTCGAGTGTATCGACTCGATGAGCTGCTCCATGGACACGGCCTGAAGCCCGAGGTCCCCGTGAAGGCTGTCATCGTCGCTGAATCCAGAACTTGCCGAAGAAGGTGGCTGGACCGGAGACGGTGCGTCGTCGCTGCCAACCCAGATATCACCGTTGGTGATCTCGATGTCGCCAATGTTCGCCACGCCATTCTTGAGCTTGCTCTTCTCGTTCACGGGACTGGTCGGGTTGCTGATAGGCGGTTCATTGGGGTTCAGGTGAAGAGAGCCACTTTTCGACGTAGGCGACAGTGGAGATCCCACTCTGGGGGTAACCTGGAAAATCATCGAGCCCCCGTTACTCTAAACGAAATATCCAACGATTCGACCGGTACTCGTCTACCCCGTTGTTAAAAATATCCGTTCGAAATCCAGCACGTATACGGCCGGTTTCAATGAAAAGTGGCGTTCGGTATACATCCGTCCTCGACGGTGCTCGAAGTATCGAACCATTTTTAACAGCGACGGCATCCGACAGGGGTTCAAGAGCCGGTCCTTCGGCAAACTGACCTCGCAGAGTTCACCCCCTCCTCGATTAGTCATGGATTTGAGGCAATGGAGGAGCCAGGCTTCATGCTGAATCTCCAAGGTGCCGCCCAGCCGATGTGGCAGGGATTCGCGGGGTATGTGAAGAGTCAACTGTGGGATCGACACGGTGAAGACTCTGTCCCGCAGTTTCTCCCGAACGAACAGCCTGAGGATCTTGAAGGGTGCCTTAAACCACAGAGGCGCCGTAACAATTAGCACCTTCTTCAGCTTCGCCGGATATCCGCCCTGCAAGAGAATAACTTCGATGAATATGCAGCCATACCGTTTGCTCGCTATCGAGTCGAGGCATCGCCCTTAAGAATGCGCTCGTCGCGAACAATTGACGAGTTCGGTGCAATAACGCGACGGGTCGCCCGAGCCCGTCGCAAGAAAAGACCGAGCCTCTCTTGGAAGGAGCAGAAGACCTATATAAAAATTTCCCGTTTCTCAAAGAGAGGGAGAGAGGAAATAAAAATACAGAAAAGAAGAACAAAGCGTGTAACGATTTAACGACGGGATGAAGCCCTCTATGAAATGGGCGAAAGGGAATTGAAAGGGGGCAACGAGATCTAGGGGTTCATTTTCCTCCCCTTTCATTGAAAAGCACGTTTCACAGATATACGCCGATTAAACGGGAGCCTGGATCGCCTGGATTATAAATACTACGGGTTGGGGTAGGACGGTTTAATAATGGTCTAAAAATATCTAGCGCCGAGGAAACGCCGCTCGCCCTTCTTAATTATCTAGCAGTTGCGTTTCCGCGCACCCGCCCTTCTCGCGCCCACCTGCTAGTTGATTAATTTTCAACTTAATTACGCGTTAAACCGAATTAACCCAAGGTTACGTGGACCAAAAAGAGCGAGACATGCAGAGCGAACGTGTCTTTTGCGCGAGCCTCGGGTGGAAAAATCATTGTCAATGAAAATCCGTTCTCGTCCGAGCGATATATACCGCCTAACGATTCCATCTTAAACTCGGACTGCCAGGACGGAGTAATTAGGTTTGTGGAGCACCACTATTTCGACAAAGTTTGTCCCACGAGATGGCAAAATGGTCCCGCGAGGAGCCACCGTTAACGATACACCCGGGGGAACGTCGTGGGCTCGTTACTATTCTAAACGCACCCGTTGGGTTAACGATAATGGCGATTCGGCCGCAATATCAACAGCAACGGTCGTGATAACCACGATGACGATAATACTTCTGCCGGGTTACTTGGCAAGTCACTTGGACCCCGCAAGAAACTTCACCGACACTGTATCGGACCTGCTGACGTGGTAACATCGAGGGCGTAAATAGATATTCGTCTTTAGCACGGCCGACTTTGCCCTGTCCGAAAAGAGTCTTGCGAAACGATCCTGCCGGGTCGCAATCTCTTCGGTTTAAATTACAATGTAAATTTCTGGACTAAGAAAAATTCCTGGATTAAGAAAAAAAAAAATTAAAGAAAGGAAGAACCCGAATAATTGCCCGGATTGCATTCGATTTACGAGTCCATATCCGGGAAAAGCAACGTTTAAAATTAATAACGCCGTTGCAAGAGATTGGGATCTCGTTTCCTATTAAATCAAAGATCCTCTCGAGTCGCACTCCCGACATGTCCGATTTCTGATACAAATATGCGCATTGTAATGCAATCACGTATTCACTTCCTGGATCGGGCCCACGTACGTTTTACTTTCCGAAATGGCCGCCGAAAATGGTAAGGCTTTCGCGATCTTTCTCCTCGCAGTTGAAATATTAATTAAGGGCCGCATTTAACTGTAAACGAAGCGGCTCCGATACTCGCGAGTAAAATCGCCCTGACGGGGGGGCGCTCCATTTTACAGCAACAAGTGATCCTGAAAGGAGCACCCGTGAAGCCGACAAAGTTAAAACAGCTGGTCCCTGAAGTTTCCTGTCCGATATGTTTTGTAATTTTTTTTTATTAAACCAGCTCGAGAGGCGTCACGAATCGACGTGTTTCTCAAAATTAAATAATCCCCCTTTCCGGTTAATCCATCCGCGAGGGTACCCCGTCAATAAAATGTCGCTCGGGAAAGTTCAACAAGGTCACCCTACACGCAACAACTGAAACAGGTGGAAAATTGATATCAATCCGATTAGCCGTGCCCGCTTATCGATTACCACCCTGAACTTTTACCCTTTTGCGCGACATTTAGACTACAATGGAAAACCGAGGATAATACTTGCGATTTAATATACGTTAAAAAATATCATTCTATCGATGTATGAAATTCCGAATGGATTTATCGTTGAGATTATCCGGCGGGCTTGCGAGCTCCTCGATTATTAGGATTATCACCGCGGGCATCATCTTTGGGAGAAGATGCGTCACGCGGGGTGTTTCCCCGGAGGATGACAATAATAATTTAATAATAGAGCGACGTGCAATTATCGCGGCCGACGCCGGCCTCGTTGCATGCCATGGATCGAGTGACCAGTAAACAATTACCGTCGTGACGGTCACCGGACCGGCTTCAAAAGAGAAAAAAAAAAATATCCCAACAGTCTGGAGACTCCAATTATTTCAGAAACAATATATCGGCCTCCGACCCTAACGCGAACGATATATATATTTACTTAAGGTGGCAACAATAGGAGATGGACCGAATGCATAAAATATATAGAAATATACCATGTATCAAAAAGAGCTGTCTCCCCCTTTCAACAAAGATATATTACCCGCTTTGGCTCTAATTGAATTCTCCGCGTTTCCAAAGAAAGCTCGCATCCCTCTTCGAGTTTTACTACCCAACCGGTATTAAAGGAAAACACATATCACGCATCCGCGTAATAAATCACAAGGCCTCGGAAAAATAATTCCCACCTCCATGTCGAGGGAACCAATGTATCAAAAAGAAAAAAAAAAATGTTTCGCTCATTCGGATATTACATCTCGGTACCGTCGGGAAAAAATAATTGGATCGAGTCACGTAAACGTTGACCACGCACCATTGTTTCGGAAAACGAGACGTTACGTAGGCATTTTTATTTTTACTCGCTACTTACATACGCCGGAAAATTCCGTTTTAATTTCTATAAGACCTACGGAGTCGCCCGATTTTTTCAGGGGTCCGTCCTGAAAGCGACCCGTTGAGAGGAACGTTCCGCGTTTCCGGCACAAAAATGGAAGCCTAACCTAAAACCTCGAGGTCCCCTTGGGCGCGAGGAATGCCCCATGAAAATCCACTTCCAGCGCAGGCGAGTCGGTCGCTCCACGGGGAAGCGCGAAAACAATCGATAGCCCCCCGTGGCCTTTAGCGGCAGTCCTTACCGAAGGGAGGCAAGGTCCGGCGTCGAGAGGGTGGCAGGCTCCGCGCGCCCCGTGCACCCGGCAGCACCACTACACCGGATGGCGACACCACCACGACTGGCCCGTCGAGGGAGGGCGCGCGCGACCGCCGCCACCTGGTCGGCCGGAGCAGCGGCGCGAGGACCGCCTAGACGATCCGACCCGCGGGAGGTGCGGGGCCCGACTGGCGCGAGGGTGCGACTCGGCGGATGCGGGTCGACGCGGGTCCGCGGTCGGCCAATCGATAGCGCGCGACCAGTACTCCGGGCGCGGGCTCCGGGCGAGGACTGAGGACGGAGCGCGACCACGCCGGGTTTTTGGCGTCGAGGGCGACGGCGATGACGTCTCTCGACCCGAGCCGCTCCTCTCAATGAGCCAAGACGCGCGGCTCCCCTGGCACGCGCGGGACGCGCTCGACGCTCGACGTGTCGGGGGTAATGTGACGCACGCGGGGTGCCCATGCCTATAGCGCCGCCCGGAGAGCGTCGCGCGTGCGCGTCCCTGTCTCCCCTTGTTCCCCTGCTTTCGGTCCCTCGAACGAGCCTCGTTTCCGTGGCAAAGACTCCCTGCACGGCCTAGGCGACCCGCGATCGGGGACGTGAGGTCGCGACGCCCGAGCACCGGCCCTCTTCGCCACCGCGTCATCGTTCGCGCTGACGCTACGTCTATGCATGTCCCTTTTTTCTTCATTCTTTCGTGATCTTCGCGTTCATTGCCCATCTCGCTGCCAGGTACCGTGGGCGAGAGCGGGATGAAAATAGGACCGGGATGCGGAAGGGTGCAGCCGGCTTCCCCTGGACGACGTCCGTTGATAAACTCAACCGCCTCGCTCGCTTCTCTGTGGAATTTTGCAATTGGGCCTGGAAAAGAAAATATTTCTTTTCCAGGCCCAATTGCAAAATTCGTCGTCTAATAAACTCTCATTTTCCCCCTTGCTCTCAACGGTCACGTCAAGAATCATCAACACCCCCCGAGTTAATCAAAGCAAGGATGTCATGACCCGAAAGAAATTTTCTCCCTTTGCTGAAAATTCTCTCTAAGAACTAGGAATCTGAGACGCTATAAGGGAACATCGTATCGCCTCTCGACGACGAAAAATTGCTTCGTCGATTATTAAAACACGTTCCGCGGTGGCACATAAAACGCGAGTTAGGACGAAGAGAGCCGGAAGATTCGATTCGGACGTCGCCGGTTGTAAGTGCGATTCGCAAAAACGTGGCAACGGAACAACTTAACTCTTTCGCGCGAGGGAGTCGTAAAATGGAGGAGACGCGAGTTTCGTTTAAAGCGAACCCCTTCGGTTTTATATCCCCCCGCAGGGGCGACGTCGTTAAGAGCTCGCCATCGGCAATTCCTCGCGCATAGGTTGCGGACGTCTCGACGGTTCCGAGATGACCCAGATCCGCAGTTTGCATTCAGGTTGCCGATCGAAGATCCGGAATAAGTTCCTAGTTCGGAATTTGCCGAGCGAGATGCGCCGGATATGCACGGGGGGGTGGAGGGCTCAGAGTGCACCCCGTGCGTTCTGCATCGAGGGGATCCTTCGACGTCCCGGGAAAAAGCGGATAAAGCGGCAGAGAGGGATGCAAAACGGAAAAGCGATTACAAGTCGGCGAAACTCGGGGTTAACGGTGCCACTGGGAAGACGGGAGTGCCGACAAAGGGCCGAAACGAAGACTCGCCGATATATCAGCGTATGCCAAAGCGGTAATTAATCCAATTTCCTGACCCAGTTAATCCCTTAACGGGCCGCTCGAAATGATCTTCAAAGGAGCCACGTACCCGCGAGTGGCTGGCACATTTGACATATCGGAAAGTTCTAATAAAAGAGCCTCCACGTGGGAAGGTATGTTCACCTTTCCCCGACGCGACATTGTCAAGGGTCGCTGTCAGCGGCTTTTTCCGGTGATTATTAATACCCTCGCGGGGCGTATGAAAGAATCGAAGGATCTGGCGCAATGTGAGGTCAAACGGAAGACTCCAGCGTTCTGCCCTGGTAGATTGCCAATCGCGTCGGGCCGAGCTGCGCCATGTACTTCGGGGGATTGACTGACGACGTTTCCCCGTGTTTTCCCCGCTTTTTCTCATCCTCCTTCCTCCACTTCCCGGGCTGGAAATCGGGCACTGACCATCGGTAAGGGCTCGTCGACCACGGGAGAAACGGCCAACTGGTGGAGCGTCCAACGCGGAGCGCAGAAAATAGCGCCGCTCGACGGCAGAAGTCGGTCAGGTCAAGATCATAACTGGGTGAATTGAAAATTACACCTTGAAGAGTCCACCACCCTTTTAAATGCGATGACTCACCGCGCATTAAGTCACTTAGGAGGGAGCTATTTCCAACCTGCTTCGCTTTCGTCTCTCGCCGATGTCCTGCGGTTTTACTGCCGACGTCGGGTCCTCGATTACGCAACTGAAAATTTCGAGATTTCAGTAAATCATCGGGAAATCGGCCGTGCGTCGATCGGGGGGCTTATTATATTTCTCGTTGCGCAAAGTCGACTTACGGTTGCGCAATCGCACCGGCTAGGAAGTGCCGTAGAGTGCCGCAAAAGTGTATGCAGACCCGCGTTCACTTTGGCACGTTAGATAGAGTCTCGTACCTGTGAGAGTACACGTGTACGATACGAAACGCATCTGCTCGTTACGTAGGCGCATCTTTAAGTACGATTCTGAGATTGGTACTTATAGGAAGAGTCTCTTGGCGCGTTACACGCGGTAGCACTTATGCCATGCTAATAATGCCATTATTCCGTCCACACGTGTGACGTACAATTTTAGTTTGATTTATGTCGGTGTCTTCGACATTGCCCTAGTCATTGCCCCCGCATAGGAAGTCTTCGTGGTTCCAAAATTCGCTTGGAACGAGGAAATAATATTTCGTTGGGCAAGAAAAACAGGACGTGCCTCTTGTGCGGTCGTGAAAAAGGAGGAGCACTCTCTGCAGGTAAATATATGTTTTACATCGGTCTTCGCATCGGAACTTAGTTATTTCACGCTCCAAATATCTTCGCTCTCATCTGGATGCAAAATAAAAGCACCAATAGCAATATCGCCCCGAAAAGGGATTATAGGTTTCACGAGCAGGCAATCCTTCCTGTACCCGTTGGCTCTCTCGTCTTCTTGCTGACGTTTCGCGAAGTTGCAGTACGCGTCTTCGTGTCCAATGTCCTGCCATAAAACACAGGCGAAGCTCTGGAAATCCTCGTGTATCTTACAACTTGAATCTGCGGAGTAGCGTATCCAGGCTCCATCGGGCAACCAATCCAAAGCCCAACTCAATCAATCTTTTTCCGCTTTCAGCAGAAGCACGCAATCGAAGCCAAACCAGTAGCGCCGATTAAATATCCCCGATAAACGTTCTTGGGCAAGCCCATGACAAACAAGATTCGATCTTGAAGAAGCTCACTACACTACCCGCAAAATGAGGTGAAGGTACCAACAAATGCTGCGGATATCCAGAATTCATGAACCAACGGTGCCTCGAAAAGACTCCCACAAGAGTATAACGTAAAGCTAATTGGAAATAGATATATGGTCGGCCAATCAATCGATAGCTTACTTTGCGAAATATTAGCAGACGGGACCATACGAGTTGGGCACTTCCTATCGATTATCGATACCAGAGATTTCGCTTTCACGGGGTCACAAAAGGGTCCCTTTGCCATTGTCATGGGTTCGTTACGTGTGATCTGAGCGCGTGTTAATCGACCTTTACCCTGAAGACATTCATGCAAAAGGTACCGTTGAACCGGGTCCCGTCGATGTAATGTCACGGCAATAAACAACGAGCTCTTCGTCGAGGAATTCCGATGCACTTGTTTCGATAACATTGCACGTCTCTCTAAAAATACCACCTCGAGAAAGTCTTCTTTAAACTGCAGGTATTTGTCGCGCTCCGTTTGCGTAAATATTGTTGCTACAACCGTGCCAACTAAACGAGTGTCGCAAGCCCAAGTTACACTACGAAATGGAGCGAGCTCTCTCTAATGGTACCCGGCATTAAATTTAACGGTGCGTGTCGTTCTTCCGAAGAAGTCGTCTGCGACCTACCTTCAAGAGCGTGAGAATTTTCTGAGACAAGTCGTAGTCAAAGTTCTGATACTTGCTGTCGGACATGTCATAGATGAAGACCAATCCGTGCTTCTGCGTTTCCGCGCTCTCCAACGCCGCGTCCAGTTGATATACCACGCCCTTAAAAAAAAGAAGGAAATCAAGATTCCCCTCAAAAACCACAACTCTTGCGCTCTTAACATTTCTTAAATCTTGCATGGCAATACGGATAATATAGATTTAAAATTTGCCAACAATTTATACATAGACTAAGCATTCTAAGAAAAGACACGAGGACGTGTCGGTGTTCTTCACAGGGAACAATTACTAATTAGTCATCGCGTGATGCAATTATCAGAAAAGTTAGACTTAAACACTGGCCCTGAAGAAACGATTCTCCGGATAGCTAAACGTTCCACAGACATTGAAAAGTGCGTAATTCCATGTGAAATTGCAGGGCTTTCAATTTGCCATTCCGTCGGTTCCATAGACCTCGTATGGCTTTTATTTCAACCCAGTGATCATCCTCTAATAAAGGATCTCGTGAACAAAGGCTCCCCGTATGAACGAGGAATCGATGACGTCGCGACGCTAGAACGAGCGACTCTTACGCAATCAATGACTGACGTCATTTTAAATAATGACGTAAAGTTTCCACCTCACTCTTCTTCTATATACTCCATATGACGTGATAACCATAAAAACCGAATGCGTTCCCCAATCATTGCAGAACCCTGACTACCACATTGCGGAGGAAAGAAAGTCAGACGAGATAGAAAAATGAAAAATGTCATCTACATGCAAATTAATCGATTTCATCCGTTCAAACGACGAAGCCGAGACGAGCGGTGCACCTCGACGTCACGCAATGCGCAATTCACAGTACTGGCTCGAGAAATGATTTTCCACGTTGCGTCGCCTACATTTCTGGTCACTCACCGCATTTATATCAGAAAATACGCGAGAGACCGCCCAATAAATTACGTCGACGGAAACCGTCTCTGGGAGAAAAAAAAAAAAAAAAGACAAGAACGGCAATCGCAGCTAGAAAGTGCAGTAGTTAAAGAACCCTTGGAAATTTATTAAGACGGGTAATTCGAGGTAATTTCAATGCGCCCGGAGCACGTAACAACTCGGTCGGATCGCCTCGCCAGTCCTCGAGGTCGTTCTTTGAAACGACTGTACAGCCATTATAGGGAGAATGCTCGGCCCGATATAAATCGTCTCGGTCAAGTTTTAAAGCTATCCCGAGGTGACAGTAGCCATGTAAACAGTACACGCCATTAGCATAACGTCGCTCGGCGAAGAATCCAGTTTATACCTGCAAGGTGGTCTGATGGGTGGTGTTCTGCGGGAGGTGCAAATGCGCGGTAAAAATAGCTATGGCTGCTCCGGTGGCATCTCTCGAGGGCTGAAACAGTTAACCACGATCGATTACCTTCTGCTCCGTGAATCAACGACCTTTCCCTGAAAGGACCACGTCCCGTTTTCCTCTCCGATCAATGGACTTACCAAGACGGTGAATTTACCCGTGCGTAGCTCGCTGCGTAGGGGCTCCTGCGTGGGATACAAAACCGCGAGGCCTTCCCTCCTCCTGGTGGCTTCGTGCTGCTCGTACAGGGCCAAAGCTCTGGAAACCTCAAACTTTCGAGCGGCCAAAAATTTTACCGCCGTGCTCCACGAGACTGGTCCGACCCGCCTTCCGGCTCTGCATTTATTCACCGTCTCTATAAACTCCTTCGTTGCCTGCAAAACAAATCGTCGCGTAAACCGTTGGCTCCGGGAACCGGTGTACATTTATCACCGTTTTCATCTGTAATTAATAGTTCCCAGGATTATTTTGCTCCGACGAAATCTGCCATTCCACGTACTCGCGCGTCAAAATACGTACAGGATGGAAAAGTAACCGTATCACGTATATTCACGTGGGATGTCATGTTGAAAATTTTCGGAAACGTCAAAAATATTTCATCCACGAATAAAGGACGTTGCAAATCACGTTGGGAAGGGAAACACTTCACGGTTTTACGTCGTTAGAAAAATATACCACGGTTCGAGGACGCGTGTACGTGTACGGCACATCTTCACGGTTCAATCATCAATTATGTTCGTTTACGTTTGGCCTTGCGGTCATGGTACTTCAACTTGAAACACCCATTCGGACTCTTACTTCGAGTCACATGCTCCGGGAAAAAAAATCCCTACGGAAAACTTGAGTCAAGAATTACCAAACGACGCGCAATAAAATTAACGGAAGTAACTCGAAGACCCGAGGAAGAAATGAATTCGGACGAAAATCCGTAATTTATCGCAGCATCGACTTCATTCATCGATTTACTGAAAATTCCGGATTCCATCGCATCGCACACCCTCCCGGCACATATAAATACACCGTCAGTCCACAAAGAAATTTTAATTAAACGAATCGCTTCCTGGAACGTATTATCCGACAACATGGAATCCATACTATGCATTTTTTATCACTGCGATTTCGGTGATATTGACCAGAAATATAGCAACCTTCCCGAGCCAGAGTTAATTTTATTTCCATCATTAATCACTAATTTCAAGACAACATACACACCATAATTCACTCATAATTATCTAATTCCTGTAATTTAAATAAGGAAATCCCACATATTCTAGAGGTGTATTACTTTGCAGAGCTATTATTAAAAGAGATAAAATAAAAAAAAAAGAAGAAAGCGAGGGGAAAAAAATTCCAACGACCGGTACGAGTCGTACCTACAGGGTGATGTCGGTCTTGCACATGAATTTACGCGTATGTGCGAGTACACACGGCGTACATACTCTCGACGAGTACCGAGCGTGTACACGAACAAGGCCGCTGCTGGCACACTCATGCCCGCAGTTGGACAGGCTTTAAACAGTTTAAATGCTTTAAACGCCGGTAATCCGGTACCGGGTCGCGGTAACCTACACATTGTTTCATTCTACGTGTAACAAAATAATAGCCTGGACTCTCCGAGTACTATTGAACTGCTTCGAATCAATGGACACCAACTTCCGAGCGGCGCGGCCGCCGGGGGGTCCTCAATTGTTCCTAATTTTGCGAGTGTACGTTTATTATTTTTAGTCTGGATGCACAATTGTTCGCAATTGCGCGTGTGGTGTCTCGTCGGTGGAGTCTTGCCGCGTGTGAGGGGAGCTTCGCTCTAACCGCGAAATCATGAACTTTTTCATCACCAAAATTCTAACCGAAGAATCACCTGACCTTAACAAAATTAATTATCCTCAAATTTGAAAATGGAAAAAAAAAGTTACGTCATTACGAAATTAATGCCTTCGCTGGGGAATTTCATTTCGCCTGGTGGAAACCTCCAGAGAAATTTATGGTTTATCCCGCGTCGCCAACAATTATATAACAGCGCAAACAACCGCAAAAACACCATTGCGCTACTGCATTTCCCAGCGAAGACACGATGGACTCGGGGCATTCTTTTCGCTATACGTGCTTCGCGTGAAAATGGAAAAACGCGTAAAGAACGCGGCTAGAAAAAGCACTTCGCCGCTCCTCCGCCATGCCCTCGAGTGTTTTCACGCGAAATGTCTGACGCATCGCTAGAATCCGTCTTTGACTGGAATCCGTCGAAGAGAATACACGTCCCGCCATATGGGTACAAGAACACACGTTAAAAAAAAAAAAAGTGGAAAAAGAAAAACCGGTGAAAAAGGGAAAAGTGAAATAATAAACATGAAAAGGACCCGGCGCCGGTGTGCATCGAGGGTTGAGTTCGCTCTAAAAGACCCTTGAACAAAAAAAGAAAGAAATTCACGTGCGCCGCGTTTAAAGAAAAAAGATAAAAAAGAAATTCGCGACGTTTCTCAATCCCCGAGTGCATCTATTATACAGATGACGGCAATTTCGAGAGCACGAGTTCTCGATGCGGTTTCTCGTGCGATTTGCATGCGCGATGACGTCTCGTGTCTGGCGCAGTCTATTATCAGCGCGTATCCTTATCAGCGTGCGACCGAGGATCGATTCCGGCCCGTTTTTCATGAAATATAATCGAGCCTTTAGAGGCCGAGTTCCGATAGGCTGGATCGGGCGTTCCACGTTGATACTTTTCTGGCGGATGGCTCGGATGTACCGACATTATTTCCGGTGTTCGGCTTTGCCCCTCTCCCCCGGCACTTCCGGTACCCTGACCGCCCTAGGAGCGGGCTAGCAAATGCGGAGGATGCTGCCAGGGAGGCACTCGTGCTTTTCGGAGCCCCTAGCTATCGGATTCGCTTGGACTACCTCCACGGGAAACGCCTGGGAAAACTCACTGAAGGGTATCCTCAGCCAATTCTATTCGTTACTTATCTATTTTCCGTTAACTATGATTTCCTAGGACAAAGATCACCGAATCAGAACGTGCCTGGAGAAAATTCCACGTCCCAGGGTGTAAAAAAAAAATTCAAGTAAAACTGTGAAATTTTCTAATTAATCTCAACTATTCTCGTTCTTCGCGAGACGTGCGGTGTGACGCGCATTTGAAGCGCGACTTACAGTAGAAAAAAGATCTTGGAAGTAAAAAGGGGAGCACGACGGCGACGAATAATGAGCACTCGAGCGCCGTGTGCTACATAGGAATTTTTCAATGGAGAAATCGCAGCCATTGTTCCCCTTTTTCCCGGAATTTGTCCGCCTGTAAAAATTCTATGAAACTCGGCGGTTCCATTCCCAGCCACTCGCTTAATCGATTTCTACATGAAATTTTTCCACCCATTCGGATGCTTGGACGTATCGACAATACCTGTCGATTCCAATATTTTCTGCATCCACGCACCTATGTACGATTCTCCGATAAATAATCAGGGAATGACCCATCAAAGTATCTCGACATTGAATCGAATTAAAAAAAGGTACAACAAAATTCAAATAATTGAGGTCGAGTTGTAAATAATCTCTGATGTAGAATTTCACATGTGGAGCCACCGATATTTACCAACAGTGTAAAAACAAGGGACAATTCTGCCTGGTACCAGCAACTGGTCAGCAAGTTTTGAGAAACGTCACGTGTCAAACGTGGTGTTTGGTATCTCCATTACTCATGGAGTGACGAAACTACATATCATTGCAATCTTACTGGGAAGGGACTGAGATAAACGTTGAGTAAACACTGGGTATACGAGTCCTATGAATACAGCACTGAACATCGAAGATTGATTGAATCGTCCCTGAATTCTCGCGCCTGGCAGAAACCGCCGTTTATTAAGCCTCCTGTCATTCTCTGAGCTGACAATCACCGGATGCAGGTGTTGTGTTTACACTATGGAGAAGAGGTTAAAAAGGCATCTCAGAGCCCGCGTGGTCTCCTAGATTAACGGAAAATTTCTTATGGTTTTCCTAAATTAATACTCGCGGCCGATTACTTCGGCGCGTACGTACAACTGTGCAATACTAGCGACTTACTTGCTCCTGTTCGACGGTCAACGCTGTCGCCATCTTGGCTTAAAATTAAACACGGATTCGAGCCGGGTGACTAGCGCCTCGTAGAGAACGCATTTACAGGCATCCTCGGCGGCATTAATGGTGACGTACTTCCTCGAGGTTCACCGGCAGCGGAATTATGAGACGTATTCGACACCAATGGGCACCCATGCACTGCCTCGCTTCATGTCACAGCACTGCTCGCTCGAGCGCTCGATCGTCTTCGCGTACCGAATGGCCGCCATTTTGCCAACAGACCGTGTCTCGATTGGCTCCCGCCGCGCCATCTGTCCTTGGCTCCGCCAATCCACTCTCGACTCCCGGCTGAGATCGATATATCGAAATCGTAATTACTCTCGTATTCCGGAACAAGAACTGAAAAACCATCTTGCAAATAAAGATCCATCGAAGATTCTTGAACAGGAAATTTTATCCCAGTAAAAATTTACTTAAGGATAGCTTGAAAGATATGTGATCGACTGCAGACTCCGAACCGACCGCAGCTGCCAATCCAAGATGGCGTCTTATCAAGGGCCTTTCCCTTATAGTCGGCAGATGGCAGCTGTGGCGATTGCCGAAAGTTGGAGAAATGACTTATAAATTACTACAAATAATCAAGCGTCATTACGTAAGTAATAGAAAATAAATTGCACTACACTATAGGTGACGATTAAAAATAAAGCAGCAAATGTCGATTTATATCGATAAAATGTGTTTAGAAAAATTGTTCTTCAACGTCGGAATGAAATTAACCATTGGTCTGGTGTGGTTATACGGCGATCGTCCTTTGAATTTCTGCTACCGGCAGACTTTTAGATGAAACAAACGCACGGATCACTCTGCAAGAGAATCTGTAGAAAGTCCAGACACGTTTTCGTCTCTGGCTTTGGAGCACTCGAGAAACGTGGATTCTCGAAGTAGCCACGATTTCTGTGAGACGTAAAGCACGAAGTCCCTTTTAACTCGTTGAAAGGAAACATTATGGGGCGACTCGAGGGAGGGTGTTCGGCGAAGGGGTGTCGAGAAAGGAAGGAAGAACTACAGAACTTCTCCGTTTTGATGGTATCCAAGCGGAAAGCATTGGATTGAAAGGAAAACTCGTGCGTCCGCGAGCCTACGATTCGAATTGCAAGTTCACGCCGAACGTAAAAAAAAAAGAACAAGAAATCCATTTTGCCTCCTTGGTGCACGACGTATTATTACGATCATGCATTTCATCCGAATCAAGTAACCTAGTTAATCGGTCTTATCGTGGGTGTTCTCGATTTAATTACAGAACGTTGACTGGGGGATCTACAGATTTATTTATTAACAAATGCTCGTTCTTAAAAGGATTCGCAGTTTTGACGTGCAGTGATCGCTCAGATATAAAATTTCACGCTTTTGATGCGATCTCGAATGATGCGAATCGAGTATTCTCCCTTTTAAGCCGCAATCGCTATAGCCGAGATAATTCTTAATTGACGGAGATATTTACTATCGGCGTTTCGAAATGAAAAACAAAGTCGTTGTTCGTGACGCTAACAGCGCCAGTACTGGAGGCGCCATGAATTCTTGACTTTCGAGTAGACAGGCTAGGATTTAAAGACTCCCAGCGTAATGCGACTGATGCAATTGCGGGCAAAAATGATAAGATTACGACATATTGGGAGAAGCTTTTCGACACTCATCGTGCAATCGGTACACGCCTCCTCGAAAATCTTGTCGCCGGTTCCTCATTCTCATTTCCATGATTATTGTGTAACGAGCTTAATCTCTGCTCGCTTGACGCCTATACTCGTGTTTACGCGTGATAAGGTGGTGGGGGTCAACGATAAGAAGGAACCCCTGCAGGGGAAAGTACCCCCCGCAGTCCTCCGAGCTTGGTGACACTTTTTCGTAACAAATTCTATCGAATCTCATCAATTCGTTGACGCAATAGACGGTTTTCTTATTTTTAAACTAAAATTTAAAAAATTGGAAAGTTAGAGTTAAGCGTTTAATATTTAATTTTCAATGACTTTTGATGATATTCGACATGGTACATAATAACGTGTCAAGAGCAAGTTCAATGTCTATTAGGTAAAGGAATATTTATCTTCCGTATTGTGATTAAAAAATTGCTCAATGTCGGCAATTGAATAATGGTGAAACTTTCTCATATCATTGATGGACGGGCGGTGATTTAAGTGAACCAAATGATTTAATGGATTCACTTGGGGACGACGTTCACGTCACGCGATATATTAACTTCGGTTACTTTTTTTCATAACGAACCGAATTTTACAGAGAAATAAAAAATACACGTCGAAAGGTAATAATTATATATCCACCTGAATTCGTTCCTGATACACGGATTCTGCAGGAAACCAAAAGTTCCGATTACATGGAATGTACCCATTGAAACGGAAATCCCTTCCTAGTTAATGAAAAATTTAACGAGGTCGGAATATTTCTACACCGGTACGCCGAGGGGAAAATTTTCGAAATTCTGGCAATTTGTAGAGCTGTCTCATTGTAAGGAATGTCACGTAGGAAAAAGCCAGGAATTCCTCCTACAGTCTATCGAGGGGTGACTGACTCAGCGTGAGGAGCAACCCTCGTTAAATGCGATTAGTTTTACCGAGGTATAACGGGGGATGATCCGATAAGACCCTCCCTATCACGAGAACGAAGTCCACGAAGGGGTCTAATTGGGTTGGAGACGATTGTCGATTTACGCGTGCACCGTACCGTTGGTAACTTCGATTGTTTACTTGATAGCAAAATGGAGATAAAGATAATCACGAACAATAGCTTCGAAGGGAAGGAACGGATACTCGAAAATTTTCCTAAACCTCTTCTAAATCTTCTCTAAATATTTTCGACGCAAACTCTTTTCCCGTCGACTCTCTCCTACAGCTGGGCAAGATGGTAGGGATTTTCCCCGTCGCCACTGCCACCATTTAGGGAGGTTTTCTTCGTGGAAAGTTCCATGTAACTTTCGCCGAGTATTCGAAGACCAGTCCAGACACCATCCCCATCTTCCTCCACATCTACCTTACAATTACGCCTAACTTTATTAAATAATTCATGACATTTTTTCTTTGCGGAGTTCCCCCGGTACGACGCATCCGCACCTCTTCAGGGTTCCCGGTCTACGATATACCCTGTCCCTCGCCCTCCCTCACGGTATGCGTTCCGTTTGAGTTACCTGGGAACATGGGTGTCGTAGTTTCCAGTTTTGAATGTTTAATTTCGGAAAGTTACCGATGGAAATGCCATCGGTACACCCGAAGTGGGTCTTGCGAGGGTCGACCCTCGACTGCGCTTCCCTCGTTTTCCCGCTCTGTCTTTCTCTGGCTCCGTCTCTGTCACCGTTACGGCACTCGACGCGTAAGGGAAATGGGAATGGAAATTCGAATGGAAATGGAAAAGCTGCTAGCTGACCGATAATGGGGTATATATGACCCTACGCGTGCGAGGCCGAGCGCGTCCACCAGTCACGGTCGAAACGTTTCGCTCGATGCAAGACACTTCCGGTCTGCACGAGTCCTTCTCACGGACGTTTCGTCATGGAAAATCGCAAACCCAAGCACGTCGAGTTTACCGGCTGGACCAGAAACTTCGAGGGTCCCCGTCGCAAAATATGCCCTCGCCCAAAAAACGGAGTCAACCCTGAAGACGATCCCCAAGACCGCCACCAGACCCCGATGAAGTTCCACAACGGCGCGTTCCGACATTTCAGGGAAGGCATAAATGGGTAATTAGACATTTTTATTGACAATTCTCCTGCCGTGAGTAGCTAATGCTGCGTAATCAAATTAGTCAAGCTCGTGCCGATAAAAGGGTTTCAAATCCCGTTCACGGAACATGTTTAGACTAAGGTGAAATCGAATTTATCGGGATACGTGACTCTTACGTATGACCTTAACAAGGGTTACTGACCATCCAATTGAGCGTATTTCCGGCAGTTAATGGCCAACCTTGAAGACTGGTAACGGAACCCATGACACAGCCATGACGTCATTTACTTATATGATGTCGCTACGTTGCGTTAGCTAGAAGTTGTGATGTGAAAGCTAAGGTGCCTCTCTCTCCACGTCCAAATACGATTCAGAGATCGTTTAGGTCTGGAACAAACCCGATTTGTAGTTTACAACGGGTTGTCCGAAGTGTCGCACGCGATATTATTTGCGCCGCTGAAATCCTCATTTCTTAAGTAAATAGTTAAATAAAAAGGGAATTAACATGTACATGGAGAAAGAATTACAAGACATCGCCTGTCGGAGTTGCATCGGAAAGTGAGTTATTAATATTCACTTCTTTCGCTTTTTGCGCATTTTAATCCTGAATAAAAATCCTCAATCGGAACTAGAGATATTATAAATGTTTGTCAAAAATATTTAACAGGAGTCGTTGGTTGATCCCTGGAAATTCGACAAAAATTACTCGAACTAATTACCCCCTCCCGCTCTATTATTTACATAATCGTAATCTTGAGCAACAGGTGCGTGCAACAGTTCCCGTAAACCGTGCAGATTTTATTCCGGCGTAAAAGTTATATGCTAATTAAGCTATTTGGAATTAAGCACCGAAAAATTCAGCCGCACTTCCGCTCCCGCGATAAAGTGGCTAATGGCCGTGGTATAAAAATTCGTCTGCTTCCCTTTTCCACGGGAGGACCGGAGCCGACGTCTGGGCACGACCTCTTGAAATTAAATATCGGTACATAAATAACTTTACTACGCCGAGATGAATTAAAGCGAGGAAACTTCGTTTCCTTGAAAAGTACTTGGGTTTAATTGAGGCCAATTGAATACTTAAAGCTCTCATTCGGCTGGATCTTATAAATACGAACTTTGTAAGAATGCACCTACAGCCTTCAAGACTAGTTTCTTCCTTGTGCAGTTTTTTTTTTTAATCTCATTGTTCCATAAATATTAAGTATTTTCTCGATAACATTTGACATGGTTTTATTTAGAGTCTGATGAATTACCGGTTGTCAGTCGGGGTGGTTAACAAAAAAATTTTAAGACTGTCGAAGCACCTTGAAAATACATTGCACGAACTTAAAGAACGTTGTGCATACTCGAGTGCAACATATGCAACCGAGGAGTGGGGCTTTCCCTCCGAACAGGATTAACCAGTTTTTACCGTGCAGTGTCCATATATTTTTAGAAACGCAACGTTTGAAAAATTTCACTTCGTAATTCGTTGTTTGAATGCAATCTTGACGACGGTAAATAATTAAATAGTAAAGGGTAAGAGGTAACTCCGTGTGCATTTTTAATCCGCGATAAACATCTCGAGGAGGGAAGGAGACGATAATGTCGACACTTTTGTGAAATAATTTCTTCATTTCTTATTGCATTAGCGTCTGCTGTTCTGTATTTTGTATCCGGTTTGCTCTCATTGACGAAACATGAATCTTGACAAACACTGGAGCTTCGGTACAGATAAAGAGAGATTTTTGACGTCCGACCTTTGGTTAGGCAACATTTTCCTCGGTTATTTATGGATTGCTACATTTAACAACATGTTATGGATTAGATATTTAAAAAATATTAAAAAATTCCCTATCGCTGCGAATTCGGTATACCTTCACTTTACGTGTCCACTTTTCCTACATTGCCTGGTGTATGCTTTAGATAATTGAGATATCGAAATCTACTTCACGGAAAATTAATTCGATAAGATAGCGGTCCCCCGCGTCGTTATCAACGGAAATATATACTAATATACCGTTTAGCCCCCTTATAATTGTTTTTCAAACTATCGGTCGAACTTTTCCGAGCTGAAAAAAAAATACTGTTCACCCATGTGCGCGTCATTTGACAATATTGTTTTCGATCTTGTCCGGAAATCCGCGGGGAATGCACGATACACGTCGCATATCAATGGACCTATTGTGAGCGAGTCACGATTCGTCGGGTCACCGTGACGAGAATATCGTTGAACGGTGTACACGGCTTGTAATCCGCGGAATAAATCTGTACTTGAGGTCGATAACTCGGAAGTCTATTCAAAATTTGGGTAAAAGTGGTGCAAATGCTCCAAAAAGCCCCTTTCTCTCCCCTCTTACCCTCCTTGCATTTAAATCGCAGCATGGCGTCTAATTTGGCGGACAATCGCTGATCTGTCGACTAGGTGTCGTCCTTTTGTCTCCGTATCGGATCAAACATCGAAACACACGTGGATTTTCGACGTCGACCGGGTCGTTCGTATTCGGAGCATAAATAGCGAGTTTGATTTTTTGTTCCCCTTCGAGGAAACGCGATGTGAAATGCATAACATGATTTACACCCTACGTGTCACCGATCGCCAGATAAATCCCGGGCATCGCACTCATCGATGATATTGACACCGACGAGATCCTTTGTCGATTGAATCGGATTATTCAGACGGTTCTATTTGGACATGGAATTGATAAGGTATAGCGAAAATTCGAGCAGACTCCCCGGCGTCGTTTTCCCGGATTTTTCGCGATATTGGCATGTTTTGCGAGATGAGGTAAATATTTTAATCGGGCGAGTGCTTCTACCTTCGACGATATTTAATTTACGAAAAACGCAAATTGATAAAAAAAATCATGTATATCAATATGTGGGGATGTTCTTAGATCGGTACGAGAAATGTCAACCTCATCGCAGCCGATGGCACGTGCACGGAACTTTTACATGATTTATGTCGATGGTGGGAAAAGTTCGGCCCTGGTGAAGGAAAAATGAGGGAAAGTGAAAAGGTCCTCGATCTTCTTCAGAGGGAACTCTTTTCCAGGTTCGGGATATCGCGGACAACTACGAATCTTTTTTTTAACATTTGATACGGCTCGATACCAGTCGCTACATTCGTGTGATATAGGGCAAGCCCTACCGCGCCTGTAGCTCTGAGCCACTTAGCGGCCCCCCCATTGCTGGGGGGATTAAATACCATCCCCACCAGGCGGACCCAACGCCAAAGGGGCCCGAAGGCCCAGGACAGGCCGGGAAAAACCCGAATGCTCCGGACCGATCGACAAACCCTGGGGAGGCGCTTGCCGGGACAGGGCCTCCGCGACGCACTCCCCGAAGGGAGGCCGCTTGACCCCACCCGTTGCCCGCGGGGAACCTCGAGGAGGTCCCTCCCCTGCACCCGCGTGGTGCGAACATTCGTGCAAGGCGCCAGCTGAGACGTAATGCTCCAGCGTGGTTTGGCGAGCTTTCCAGGCTAGGTCGGGTGGGAACCCGATCCATCGGCCGAGTTGACCCGGCAAATATAGGATCGATTATCCCACCTATCGGCCCGTACTAGCTCGCCGGCCTTCTTATTACGGCCGGTAGGGCCGGCCCCCAACCCGCACCCGGATAAACCGAGGACACGGGACGGGTTACCCGGAGCACCTCCAGCCGTCCGGTCCTTTCGCCGGTAACTCTAGGGGGAACAAGAGTGCGGTCAAACTCCGCAGAGCGAGCATCTCTCATGGTTCCCCAGTAGCCATTTGCCGTTTCGTTACGGATCCATAGGGATCCGCATCCAGCCCCACCACGAGGAGGTTTACGGATGGCTCTTGGGCGCGTGGGGGCCACCCCCCCCCACGTCGTTGCCTTTCGGAGGCCACCAGTCGCTACAAACCGATAAGGACCGATAGGAATCCACGTGGATCAATCGGGCTCGATTCGATCGCGATCGCGCGAGCTTGCGCAAAAAGTACCTGCCAAGGGATTCCCCTGAGGTGCACTCAAAATTGCATTTTGCACATTCGAAGCATTTCGCGTACATAACCTCGGACCCCTGGACGTAACCGCGCGGCCAAGGCGAAGATCGTCTCGGCAATTGGAGCATTTACTCCCAATGGGTTATCATTACGTGCCCCCTGGAAGTCGTGGCGCTAATCTGCCCGCCGATTGGCCCATGCCGAGGCGAACTGTCGCGCGATTGGCCAATCGAGAAGTCCGGAGGTACTTTTTTCAAATACTGGTTCCTCTATAAAGCCAGTCGCCGAAGAGCAGCTCGGTGATATCCGCGGAGGATTTCAAGCTCGAAAATCCGCTCGGACTCGCTCGGCCCGGCGCGAATCGTTAGTTCTACCAGTGCGCGACAATTCGCCCTCTCGAGAGAGAATTCGTTCCGCTCGGGAACTCGCCTCCGTTTTTTCGAATTTCGCTCCCGTTCCGCACCCCGGAGTACAACTTGAAAAATGCCCTTTACGGAGGTAGTGAACGGCCATAACAGGGCGAACCTGAAGAGGCCTAACGAAAACGAGTTTCTGCACACAAACGTCAAGCATGCCAGTCACACCACGTAAGCTCTTTAAAAAATCGGATCTCCCGCGACGTGATCACAATTTCACCGAAAATCAATTTTATGAATGAAATTCGTACCTGATTTGAATAGAATATCTTCTCCCCTAGAAATCCGTCGTCGATTCGGATCGGTCGATTTCCCGATTTGGATCTAAGACCTCGAGGGTCTTACTTTGCTCTTCTTTTATTTTCTCGCCTTAATCGACGCTACGTGAATCCAATTATCTCAGGTTCCCCCGAGAGCGGGTCCTTCGCACCTTCGCTTGTTTAAAAACCTGCAGCTTCGCGACCGGCTTCGCGAAAGAGAGTTAGTTTTCTATTATTTTATTTGGGAAACGTGGCGACCCCGCTGAAGCTTCACTAAGCGAAATAAATTGCACCGGGATACATGCCTAAGGTTTAAACCCGAGATTTACGCCGATCTTCCCCCTGCGATTAACGCGTCGACGGAACGATCCGAAAAGCGCAGGAAAAGAGCGATCAGCTCCAATTTAGGGTGAATATTAACCAATGCCAATCTAACCGTGCCTTCCCCTTGAACCCGGGAAAAAAGCGGAAAGCACCTAGAGCATTCCGGAACCTTTGCGACATTATTTTTTTTATGCTCCCGATAAATTCCTGGAAATTTTCAGACTTTCGTAATTGGAGTATCGTGTCACGACTTTAAACGCTACGTACAAGATTGCAACGTATCGCTGATGTCAGCAATACACATCTGTCTTATTTTTCGTGTACAGTTGTCTTGTCATATTTTATCTTGTAATGTAACGATATCATTAAAAATTCATTACGCTCGTAGACTGTATATTTGATTAGGGGCTCGGTGAGAGGATTTAAAAGATAGTGCTGGGTGGTATTGGTTATTAATACTTGCAGCGCGCGTGAATGTATATGTCAATAATATGTTTGCGAAGATAACTTATCAAAGGCGTATATAAATCTGTAAATTTTCCGTCTTTTTGTAGGACGGCGCGGCAGTAAAGTCGCCGCTTTAAAGATATACCATAATCGCTCGATAAATCAATGATGCATCTTTGTTAACATGTACTTGGGAGATTACAATGTTATTATTTACCGAACAAAGCTATCGCCTTTGGGATTAAAAGGAGATCGTAACGAAGCTATGGAACGATCGGGATGCTGCAACGTGCCATTGATAATTCGCCCGGTGTTCCTGGGAGAGGTTATCCCGAGGGAAAATGAAGAGAGACGGCCTGCAGGGATAATGGGGAGAGAGAGAGAGGAATCCGAATGCCTCTGTTCCGGCTCGTGACCCGGCACTGAGACCTTCTCAATAATTAATACAAATGTCGAAACAGCGCAGGGGGAATTGCCCATCAAAGAGCCGTTCAGGCTAAGGAAGAATCGATCTCATTCAGAGGAAAACGGAAATCAACTGACAATGACGTTTCGGCATTAAATTTCGGAACCAGTGACCAGAGATAACCCTAAACCTTCTGTAAATTCAGAGTCCGTGGAAGAAGACGAGTGATGAAATCTTCTTCAAGTTTGGGAGATAATCATGTAATTCCGCCTTGATAACACTTCCGCGGACCGCGAATAAAGATACGCATTTAAAACGCTCGGATAAGATCTTCGTCCAATTCAGAACGAATATCGGACAGACTACTTAAATCCTCATAAATTAAATTATATTAAACGGTGTGTCACGTATAATTATCGCAATAGAAGGAAAAATTTTATCAGTTAAAAAAAAAACGACAAAAACATTCCCCTCGCTCCAGTGATTTCAATGACGATTCATCGAACTCGCAATGAGTCTGAAAGGCTTGATCCAGTTACACACGACGTAAGACTCGAAGAGCCTTTCGCACACGCAAGAGTGCTCCGGAACGCAGGAGTTCGCGGAAAGGAAAATGTCGCAGATTTTCTACATAAATCGCAGGCATCGAGGCGTGCCGCGGGGGTGGGAAGGGTTGCAGAAAATGAAAAGTATTTCATAAAGAAGTGCTCCCCCGCGTCTTTGAAATAAGGCCGTCGAGGGTGAGCGGAAGAGCGGAAGTGCGGAAGATGAATTCGCGGAAGGGCAGGGAAAGGCGAAGGGGTGAAAAAGGGTAGAGGGTAAGGAGCGTGGACTGCCGAAGATGTGAGAAAAATGCAGGAGAAATTCCTTGCCCCCTCTCCCCATCGCGCCTCGCTCTATTAGTTTCCTTTAACTGAATTTCCATGGAAAGTTACTAATGGGGGGCGGCGCGCCCGCCGGGCGAGGGAAGGTTTCAAACAACAATTTGCCAACTTTTAGCTAATAAACAAAGCCGACGGGCTGGATATACATTACGGGGATATATGTGAAATTTGCAAGCAGTACATACCTAATTTGGGTCCACTCGCCTCCCGCGACGTCGCGATCCTCCGACTGCCCTCCGACCCAAATCGCCACCCACTGTCACCCACTGCCACCCACCGCCAACTCGAACGATACCTGCGTTACATCGACCGCGGACCTAATTACGAAAGTTGACGGTTTAGTGCCGAATTCCCCCCAGGATGACTTCATTTTCCGCGGAATGTTTAATGGTCGGTTACGCACATCCGTCGCGGTTTCGTGGTTTTCGCGGTCCCCTGGTGAATCCCACGAGGTAACCACGGAGAAAATGTTCTGTCTCCTTTGGTGGAGCAACTCATCCTCCGTGCCTAACGTCGATCGGGCAAATCGATTCGAAGTTTCGTCGGAGGTTCGTGAAATAATGCCCTCCCTCGTGGTTTTCGAGTTTCAGACCCGTTTAACGTCGTTTTGCGTCACGGGGTTGGGATCAAAGGGGTTAAAATACGTCCTCCCCGCGGGATGCAGCGAAAACTCGACAGCGGCTCCGGAGCCGACTAGGAATGCGACGTACGCTGAATTCGTCGGATTATTGCTAATTAATTGTATACTTAGGGAGGATCTTTCCGTCCTGCGGTGCGAGAGGGAATACCGAGTCGAGCGCGATTCGTGGATGAAACGCTTCTTTGTGGGGCGGATGGAGGGAAACGAAGCGGCCGGATGAGAGCGAGCCGCGAGGTGAATAGACGGATAAGTAGTTTGGGGTAGTATCACGGGTTAAACATTAAAATGGATGAGACGGGTTAATTGACAAAGCTAATGAGCGTTATGGCGGGAATCTCCTCGGATTTTACCTCCAGGATTTTTCTACTCCCTTCAATGATTAAACCGCGCGCTCTTATCGGGCCGACGTGAAATTGAAAAATTTCTCCACAAGAATTTGGAATTGTTTCAAGTATTTCTAAATTTCTGTTAATTATTTCGCGGAGTGGAAAGCCTTGTCTGAGGATCTGTAAAACGGCTGCCGTAGACGCTTGAATGAGTCGGTACCACGTGTGCAGCAAGCGGAATTGCATTGCATATTCGGGCGAGGCATGACACGTTCGAGTATGCACGTGCTGGTACGATTATGCATTCTCGGTGCAATGGATACATTGGACCCGTTGGATAGGTTCCCGCGTTACAGCCTCGCATCGAGCACGCGCATCTCGACGCATAATTTGTAACGCCTAGGATGCGCTCCTGCACTCTTGCACCGGGAAGTGCACCAACGCCATTTGCACCCGCTAACCCGTCACCGCGTTCGTCTCGCGGCTTAGGAACTCCGTCGCGGTTCCGCCGCGGTGTCGAGCAGTTACCGATTCCGCTCGTCCGTTTTCTCGTGCACGCGGAATACCTGCGGAAAAAGAACAAGCGAATTTAACACCTGCCGTAAGATTTAATTTCCTCCCAACACGGATGGCCGGACGGAACGTTTACTCCGGACAAATTTCAATTTAAGTCGCATTCAAAGCGAGCTTGGAAATAAAATCTAGAATTAATAACAATGCTTCCGTGTTTCAGGTACACCTTCGAAGCCCTCCAGGAGTCTGCACAGTACCTGCTGGACCGAGTTTCGATGAGGCCCAAAATCGGGATCATATGCGGATCAGGAATGGGTTAGTTAACGATCACCGCAAACGTTGACGAAGATCCCGCGATCGTTCCAAAATGGATACTCCGAATTGACCTCTTCCTCCTTACCCACCTACCCGACGAAGATGGGCAAATCGCGGATTTTTATCTAAGAAAAATGTTAAAAAATTTATCAAGTCCGGTAAATTTCGGTGTCGATAAAGAATGACGATTCGACGTACCGTTCTCGTGTCTCGCTTTCGATCGAGATTTGGCACGGTTTCCGATCTTTTTTTGCGGTTCAATACTCTGTCAGTTATCGTTTTTCTATTCCCGAACAGCAGGAGAATCTGAGCAAAGTGAGTTGTGTCCAGGTACCATCGCGGATTCGCTCACCGACAAGTTGTGCTTTCCTTACGAGGAGATTCCTCATTTCCCGGTGTCCACGGTGAAGGGCCACGTGGGCAGGTTGGTCTTCGGTCGTATCCACGGGGTGCCGGTCATGTGCATGCAGGGCAGGTTCCACTACTACGAGGGCTACCCCCTGTGGAAGGTACCCGGCATTATTATTTCTCTTCACCCCTGATTCGGTCGCGAGCTAACTATCGATGGACCGTCGCCATTTGTCGGGAAATTGGCAATGACTTATCGATACATAGTTTATTCCCGGCGGTCGATCGGTATTAGTTTTGCCATCTCGTCGGATTCGGTTAATGTCGTACAAGTTCATTAGCACGGTAGAGGAGCCCGTCTGCGAAACGTAAATCCGGACGCCACTCGGCGGTTTCAGTGTGCCATGCCGGTGAGGGTGATGAAGCTGGTGGGAGTGAAGTACCTGGTGGCGACGAACGCGGCTGGAGGGCTCAATCCCAAGTACAGGGTCGGGGACATCATGATGGTCAAGGATCACGTCAACATGATGGGCTTCGCTGGGAACAATCCTCTTCAGGGACCGAACGACGACAGGTACGTATCTGGGTCAGCGCCGATAGCGCCCGATATCGTCGAGCCGGGAATTGGCATCGTCCCATGAAGACCCCGAAGACCCAGGATGGAACCGAGAGGACCCAGGGGGCGATAGGTCTTCGTAGCTTCGTTAGGTCCGGGAAAAGATGGCTAGTTTGCGGATGACATTCCCGTCGAAGAGCCCGTAGGAGGTTCATCGAGGACCCTCCGATGAACCCTCTCCCGGCTCTGGATCCAGCAGGGGAAACGGAATTAATTTATTTCATTGGAATAACCCCCGTGAATCGGATTGATGAACTATTTGCACTGCGATATAAAGAAGCTGATTGGCGTATTTACTTAGGAAATTCGGCCCGTCCTTCCTCGCCTCGTCCTCGGCGAGCTCGTCCTCGGGCTCCCGGGACGAGTTCCCGGAGCCATTGTTCCTTTATCCCCCGACTTATTTTACGGGATCCATCCCTCGGGTCTGCATCGTTTCTCCCGGTTTTCCTTGCCGGACGCGAGTGCCCTGGGCCTCGTGCCTTGGAAAACGTGCAACACGATCCATGGATGCCGAGGAAGGAAAAGTGGACTCTTTGGCGCTGCTAGAAAAAATTTCGTTTATCGGAATTACCGTAACTTTACCATTTCGTCTTAAACGCGTGTACGCGACGGGGGCATCCCCATGAATCGAGGCATGCTCAACGAGGGGGTGAATTTTTATTCGGTGTCGGTATTTATTTGAACGCAAAGTTACTCGTGCTTAACGTCGTCTGACCGACCTTCTCTTTTCCCTCTCTCGGCGCGCTTTATCGCGTTTCTTTTGTCACACGTACCGATATTAATGGACTCCACCCCCAGCCGAGCGCTCCTCTGGGAATTACTTTCCTTGCCCAAGGGAGATTTACTAAGCTGTTGCTTTCTTCGTCGAGGCAAACATAATGTACGGCGAGCACCCCTCGATTAACGGCGCGAGCTCAGCCGCGATCCGTCACTCCGCTGTCCGGAACGTCGACGGGACATCGTCGGAACGCCTCCGGGGGTACGCTCTGCTTCCCTTTACTTAATTTCATTCGCTAATTGATCGTCCGCCCGATGTCGACGATTAATTCGTTCACCCAATTAGGAACGATTTCGTCCCTACGTCCTTAAATAACCCGAATCGCCCCTGTTGTTATTTTCTGAATTTTCCTGACCGCTCGTGAATTTTCCGAATATCCCGAGCACCGATATGGCGCGAAGTTCGAGGAGTCATCAGGGTATACGATTTTCTTAGCGAATGGTGTCGATCGCGGAATTTAAATCAAGGAAAACTATCGGGGAGGGTCGAGATGATCGCGGATATCTCAGAGGGAGAGAATGGAGTACGCGATGATAGGAATCTCCGGTTGGACCGGGGAATTCGATTCCCTCTGATTTCTTCCTCTCTGTCTCAGGTTCGGACCTAGATTCCCCCCTATGAACAAGGCCTACAACTCGAAGCTCCTGGAGATCGGCGGTAAAGTTGCCGAGGATATGGGGATCTCCGATATCGTTCACAGGGGCGTCTACACCTGCCTCGGAGGGCCGAACTTCGAGACGGTCGCTGAGCTGAAGATGCTGAGGATGGTCGGCGTCGATGCCGTAGGTCGGTATCGAATTCACCACCGATTGTCGAGAAACTCTCTTTGTACTTCCTCAAAATCCATGGCGAATCCCTTGGCGCTTAAAAAAAGATTCCCGTTAAAAGAACCAGAAATATTTTAACCAGGTCTGGTAATATCGAAGGGAACTATTTTTGAGTAAGGGGCAAATAATTAGGCACCGAGTCGAAGAAACGCGACCGAATACAAAGCCGAGGTGGAGTTCCTTCACCGGCAGCCGCCGTCCATAAATCTCCAGCCTCCTCCTTGTCGTTTCCTCGCTCATGGAGCCTTCGGGGCAATATCGCCGGGAAAGTCGACGGATCCCGGCGTCGTTTTATTAACCGGCATCATTGATTTACGTGGTCTGGCGTTCCGCAGGGATGTCTACGGTGCACGAGGTGATCACGGCGCGGCACTGCGACCTGACGGTGTTCGCGTTCAGTCTGATAACGAACCAGTGCATCATCGACTACGAGGACCTCGGCGAGGCGAACCACGAGGAGGTGATGGACGTTGGCAAGGCTAGGCAGCCGATCCTGGCGGAGTTCGTCGCCCGGGTGCTTTCGAAGATCGTGGAACTCGACCTCGAGACCAAACAGGCCAAAGAGACTAAAGACGCCAAAGAGACTAAATGAGCGACGGGGCGGACCGACTCTCTCGTCGACGACGAGAGGCAACTTCCTCGGAGGGGCTGCTCTTAGCGGTCTCCGATTATCGAGGTCCAGAAATGGCGCCGGATAGGAGATAAGAGCGGAGACCGTCGGAGAGTTAGCGAAAACCGTCGTTCGAGAGGGCGGTCCAGGACGGCGTTGGGAGGTTTTGGAGGGTTCGGCGAGGTTCCTGGAGATCCGGGGTTGCTTCAAAGACCGGCGAAAACCCGACCGGACGATCCGGTTCCCCGCTAAGAGAGTCGGGCCAAGACCGCCTCAAAGCGCCCGATGCTCGACTTCCGGGTCGACCTCCGCGCTTCCACCCTCGGGAGAGCCGAGCCCGGGTTTACTCTTCCGGAGGGCGCGGTGGCATCTCGCGCGAGAATCATATTTAATTTTACACCTGACTGCCCCTCCCCGTTCCGGGGGTGCGCCGGGCTCTTTTCCCCGAGGTCTCGGAGAAATTATATTTCAATTCGAGACCTCGCCGGGCTCGCCGCGAAAGAAGAGCGCGACGCTCCGGGGCAACGGGGAACGGACCGGAAACGTCGTTTCGGGGTGAAAGGAACGTTTCGAAGCGTCTTTTTCTCTCTCCTCTCTACGGATTGCGGGAGGTAGGTACCCACGTTACGCGTAGGTAATTAGATCCGCGGTCGGAGTCGTTCACTCCGAAGCGGATTCTTGAGCTCTGCATATTTATTGCACGGTATCGTAGTTGCGTAGTTAGAACCCCCGATAAGGGTTTTGCCAGTGCTTTGGACATTCCTCTCGCTGTTCGTTTTATGAGTCATAAGCAATGCGATCGACGCGTCTCGAGGGAGGATCCGCGAAATGGACCGACCAAAGGCGAAATTTACTCATGGATCCTCGAGGAGATTCTCAGGAAAGCCGTGTAGCCCTCGAGTCTTCGTTCACCGGCGATCTCGATTGATTCGTTACGCGTCTTAAGGAGATGCGAAGCCGCGGGGGGGATTGCTCCTCCGCAGCCTCCCCCGCTTCGTTACCTTCATCTCGTTTCCGCGCTTTTCCATCGCTAATGCATCGGCCCTCGCCTTCGATAAATCTCCACCCTCGAGGAAAGGCCCCTTCCTCTCTCGGCGGCTTCTCGGGACGGCGGCCTCGTCATTATCGCTAAGAATTAAATTATGATTTGACAGGCGCGACGAGGAAAGAAAAAAAAGAAGGAGCCCCTCGAAAGCCTGTCAACGGGCGGTCGGAGGAATCGGGGAAGCAAGAGCGACTTCCGGGGGGGAAAAAAAAGGCGAGACTTTTCCTCGACGTTACGAGAGTCCGAGCGAAACGAGAGTCTCGAGACTTCGGATTTTTCGCGATCGAAATCTGTGCCAGGTTTAATGTATTGTAAACAAAAAAGAGGACCGACTCGATAAAGAGCAATCCGATTTAACGAGGGGAACGTTCCGGTGTCCTCGATGCCTACGTAAATTTCGAGACGTCTAAGAGATGTCCCGCGTAGATGCCAGATTCTTCAGGGAAAGATGGAGAAATTGAATCAGTGTCTTTGAGTTTTACGAGCTTAGAGACCGCTCGTGGGGCGGAAAATTGAATACGGATTTAATAAAGAAAAGTGTGGCGGAGGAGACGTTTTACTGCCGGCAAAGGGAGGCACTGGGGTGTCTGAAAATATTCTATTTAGAGGCCATGTCCTCCGAGGAGAATAAATTCGTCTCTGGAAGGAACTCTTATTGACCTTCGATGAAAATTAAAAAAATTTTGAAACTCTCCCAGTCGTTTTTAGCGATCGTGAACGATTGTCCGCACCTATGAGGAATTATATTTATAGCCAATTTATAACTTCCTGACCGTTCTTTGGTCTTACCGATAAGCCCTGAAGACGCATTAGAGAACCTCTTGGATTTGAAGGACGACTATAAATACGTGCACTGCCGATCCAAAGCCGGCAGAACTTCCACAGAGTGTTTAGCCATAATCCTTCGTGCAACAAATAAAATTAATTCGTCCAAGAGGGAATTAGAGTAAAATTTTGAAAGTCTCGCCCAAAATAAGAGAAATTTTGGTACATCCGATACCGGATGTATGTAATTTAATTTTTTCCCGGTCGCTAAGTTTCCGGCGGCGCGATCTCGAGCTTGGGTCCATTCATCGCGTAAATGCAATGGCATTTGAATAAAAAATGTAATTGAAATCCCGCTCTCATTTAATCCTGCAGAACCCCGGTCGAAAGCCCACCGATCCAATTTTTTTCCCGACAACCCGCCTCCCTCCTCGCGGCCCGTTCGTTCCGAAAATCCCGTTTAATTCGAATTCGTCGTACCCCCGAAATCGAGGTAATCCAAAAATTTTCACTCGGCTCGGCTCCCTTTATTCGTTGAAACCTCCCATGTACCTGCACATCGAGCCGTAATTTCTTCCGCAGACGACAGGTATCCCACAATTTTTAAGGAATCGATTAGCAAAGAGTTCCCATTTTAGCATCGATGCGCGATTTGTGAATCTAGCTTGTTTAAAGAATACAATTCGCGCAGTCGGTGAAGAAGATCCGAGGAAGAGCTTCGCCGAGTCCCAACGAGATGTCGGTAGAGGCGCCTCGGCGTTTCTTCCGGAGCAGCGCGGCTCGCATCGGCGCAGTCGCGCGTCGGGCGTTCCGCGTGTCGGAGGGAGCGCAGGGTCGTTTAGCCGCGAGTGTCAGTACGGCTCGTGACTTGGCCGCGGCGAGAGCACGAGTTTCCGCGTGTGGTTCGGGATCGGGAATGCCGTCGGCGTTCCGGGAACCGCGAGTGCCGTCGGGCGCGAACCTCGATCCCGCGGCAGGGCCGGTGTCGCGTTGACGAGCTCCGAAAGAGCCGAGTGCGCGGGGGTCGGGGGCAGACGAGAAGCGTGCCGGCCCCTCGAGTCGACCACCTGGATAGAGCAACCGCTCCAGGCGGAGGTCGCGCCGAGTTCCCGCGGACGCGGCACCGGGCATCGAGCGCCGTCGCCCGTTCCGCGGCGACGGCGGCACCTGCGAGGACGCGGGCCACACCGCCGGTGCGTTAGGTGCGTCCTCCGCGCGTGACCCGCGTCTGGAAGCGTCCCCTCTCGGCTCGGGCCCAGACTGCGCCGGAGACCGGTCCCGGTGCACGCGCACTTGACCGTGCCCTTAACCGCGCACAGGGCAGCGGAAGCCTCGGTCGCGAGTGCGCCTCCGACCGGGTCGCGATGCGACCGGAGGAGCGACCTCGCCGCGCGTAGGCGGCGACCGAGGGGAGAGAGAAAGAGAGAGACGGCACGAGAGCGCGCGAGCGACCCCTCGGGACGCGTCGCGAAAGGAGGGAGAGAGAGCGCCGACTCCCGGTTATGTCACGAACTGGGACGATCGCGAGATACGCTAGCGAGGGCTTAATGACGCGCCGCCCGGAGAACCCGGACGCCCCGCAGACCCAGCCGGCCTCCAGAGCCTGCCCGGCGTCGCTAGCCTAACCGAGACACCCTAACCTGGCTCACATGCCCGTGCACGCGCGCAGAACGGTAATTCGAATTTTGTCCTTCCCGGCCCGGGCAAAACCTGCGCGCTCGGAGTCTTTCAAAAACAATCCCCCAACGAGTCCGCTGAATTACTATCTCGGCTTCCACTCCAGTCGCTCCGACCAGGTTTTGCCCGGGTCCGGTCCCTGCCGATGTCTCGAACGTCTTCTTTTTCCGTATACATATATTTACGCTTCTTGCCCCCGTTTCCTCGAGACGCCCCCGACCGTCCAGGTCGTTTTTGGAATACCGGCCGGCTTCTCGATTTTTGGTGCACCGAAAATCCTCGCGATTTTGGGGATCGATATTCTAGCTTCCTAAGGGAAATTTTCGGCACTCGCCGCGCCTTGTTTACGCGGGGGGCGAAATCGGGAATCGGCGATTATTGGGCCTGGTCGTTAAACGGTCGCAAATTGTCCGGAACTCGTCGCACCTGTCACGGCCTGGTTACGCGATTAACGGGCGCAATTGCGGAGAATGTCGTCGGGGGACTCGCAGGGCCGCGAGATGACTCGTCACGCGATCGGGGAACGTTCCGTTAGGTCGCGATACGTGCGAAGGACGAGCGAGATCGACGCGACCGGGCCGTCCCACGGAGCGCGGCGCGTCGGCGCGTCGAGGATGGGAAACCGGCCGGAACCGACGCCTTACCTTTGACCGGGGGTTCCGGGGGCCGCCAGGTCCTTATCGAGGACTTTATTTCGAGTCCTTCTTCGTTATCGATTTTCACGGTCAACCCGACGCGACCTTATCGCCGAATTTCGCGATTTCGATCGCCGGTCGTTAATCGAGCGGCCGAACGCACTTTCGACGCTGATTTATGACGCGACGGTAGTTAATCGGTGACGCGGTCCGATGGGCCGTTTGACCGTCATTGCGAGGAACGTTCGTTACGTCGTCCAGGACGCCGAATTAACGGCCACCCTGGAGAGTCGCCGGTGCGTCTCGAGGGTTCACTTTCCTAATTTTATGCCTTTTCTTTCTTTTTTTTTTCTCTCTATAAAATGTTATCTCGTAATTTTACGTACCCATGGATAATTAATTCTCACCTTTTTCCTCCGATTTTCGTTTCGATTATCCGTGTTCGCTTTCGATGCGCGCGAGGTTAAGCGTTTTATCACGTGTTCGGTAATAAGTTTACTTCCTATTTTCATTTTGGCTTTTCATTTATCCTAATCCCTGGACGTGTAGAGTTTTACGCCCGGACGACGAACCGGTGGGTTTTATTCAATTTTTGCGGACTATGGGAGTTTGGCAACGGAATCGGTCGTTAATTCTCCAAGTTGGCGGCGAGGCGTGCGAAAGGCTGATTAGCGAGTAGACCGGACCTGCTGAGTAAGGGAATGCCTTTTTAATTGAAATTTAACACTTTGGTTGGGCACGTATCACTCGACCCTCCTTGATATCGACTTCCATTTCCGGGAATGAAAGGGAACGGGGGGATGCGTGGTTTATTTTCCCCTCTGTTACATTTTCGGAGTAGAATAATCATCGTTAAGCGTCGTCTTAAAGGGCATTAACGAACCCTTTTAATCGTTATTGGGAATTTTGCGAGAGTTGGTCCCGCGAAAGGGTCGAAAAATTCATCGAGACCCGGCGACGTCTCTTCGCGATTGTCTCCCCTCGACTCGAACTCTCCCGTCTCGGTTTGCACCCCCTCGGCTATTTTCTTTTCCTCGGCCTCGGTCTTGCTTTTCCTCCCTCGGAAACCTCGAACCTCGAACCTCGAATCCACCCTTGGCCTTACACGCCCGAGGTGGTGCGTCTACGCGTCGTTACCCCCGCTCGTATAACGACGTTCAACGTCCGATTCGTCTCGGTTCGTTTCTCGAAGATCAACCCCTCGAGAAGGTCGAATCTTCATTCGAGGTCTCATCCGCGAGCTTTAAGCTCCTCGAGGTTTAAATAGGGTGGCGAGAAAGTCGAATTCTTTTTCCAAGGGACTTTGGCAATACTTTTCATACACTTTTTGGATTTCATTTTCGTTACCGAGGATCTAATTGACTTTTCATTTTGTCGGTTTCGCTGTGCTTTTTTGGAGCGATTCGGCAAAGGTCGTCTCCCGTTTCTTGAAAGCTTAACCCTCTACACGCACCCCTGCGTGTCGAGGGTGGCTCATTACGCACGAGTCATTACGCACGTGTAACGAGGCCTATTCCGCGGAGATCGGCGAAGCTTTACCCCGGATTAAAGGGAAAGTCCGTACATTGGAGTGACTTTTTTCGTTTAATCTCGTCCCCCCCCTCCCTTTTTTTTCCCTCCGAATTTTTGGCGCTTTTCGGAGAAAGTACGCGAAAGTACTCTCTCATTACTCCCGCCTGCGAATTGGAAAGTCGCAATTAAGAACTCTCGGGGTCTCCCCTTCTTTACGGCACCATTGTATTCCGTTCCCGTTTTCTCCCGGGTTCAATACCTGATTCATCAGCGATTAAAAACGCCTTTTGTTTTCATTTTTTCTTTCGAGGGGAAAAAGAAAAGTCGATAACCCGCTCCGAGGTTCATTGCCAATAACCGGAATCAAACGACGCTCGTTAATTTCAAATAACGCCGGTAACTATTCCAATTCCGGCAATAACTATGCCTTGATGACTTTCATTTTATGTACACTTAAGATTTAATTAAAATCTAATCGTATCGACGAACCCGACTGTCGCGATATCGAGCTCCCCTCGATTTCGAGGCGATTTGCGGGAATACTTATAATCTAGATCTCAAATGTAACGATTAATTGAAATTAATACATAGTGCCCGTTGATATCCGGCGATATAATGAATTGGTTGAAGTCGGGGAGAGTATAGTTGGGAAGACCTTTGCGGGATATTTAGTGCCTGATATTTATTCCTGTTATCTGCCACGTTTCTAACCTGTTATCGGTCCGCAATAAGAGCTAGTCCGCTTCGATATAACAAGATACGGGGACTTGTAAGATGGGCTCGGATAATTGAAACATCAGCTACGAGATTTCTAATAAATTAGGAGCGACGCCCGGAGCGGTGTAACATTATTCCCCGTTAATTGGAGAAAAATCGTTCCGGATCAACCGGAACCTCGCAAAATGGTCGAGGTAGATCGCTCGGGTTTCCAGTCAGCGTTTCTCAAGGAAATATGCATAGTCGAGGTTGTCGGGCCACTTACGCAGAGAGTAGAGCGAAGGATTCTGTACTTTTTTTTGGTTTTGTTTTTATTACGTATCAATGTTGCTTTTCTTCTTTCGTTAACCGCGTCCAGTCACGGGAATTATATTCTAAATTTGAGACGCGACCTTTCCGCTCGTTTTCCTGCACCTCTTAAAGCGTCCTCGTTGCTCCTCGGTTCTTGTTTCAATTGCGTAACGAGCGACCTGCTTCAAGGAGGATCTATTGAACGAGCAAGGGGGGGCGACTGTCGCCTCGGAGAATCCATTAAAAACACATTAAAGAGTAATCTGAAAAAATGGCCGGGCCGAGAAGAAAAAAAAGAAAAATCCACGAGGAATCAACGGAAGCTTGCGTTCGGGAATTCCGGTCGGTAGTTTAAAGGGGAAGGGAAAAAATGGATACACGCGCGACGAAGATCGATGGACCGCTTTGGGGGGAGAACGGAAAACCGCACTTTTCCACCCCGGGTCGGGAGGGCCAATCGGCGGTCTTCTCGGCGCGTCTCGGAGAGATTATTTCCCGTAAGCGGCTACGTGCGGAGGGGTTACGCGCATTCCCGGGGCCAATTCATTTTTCCCCAATTTCACGGGTCGCTTCGCCCCGCCGGGCCGAGGGCGCGTTTCCATCGGGGCTCCTCTCTTAATTTTCGCCGCTGCGAACGCGCTCGTGATTTCGGCGGTGCGGTTTATTTGGGTCGTAACGCATTTTCCAATTGCGAGTCGTACCCGCCCTCTTGCGCTCTCTCTCTTTCTCTCTTCCTATCCCGCCGTCCGCGGCGTCATCTATTGGCGCCCCCCCGCGAACCCCTTTGTCGCGCTTAACGAACGGTCGTCTGCATTTTAATATACTTTGCGTAAATCAATTTCGCCCGAATAGATGTCCTCCCGAAATCCCATCCTCCGCCGCCCGTTTCCGCAGCTATTCCGCATTCGGCCGAAATCGGCGATTTATGCCGGAGGGTCGCGACCTCCCGTTTCCGGGCGGGCGCGAGCGTCAAAAATGGCCGCCGGAAGCGAGCGCCGGCCGTCCTCGAATTTCCCTTCTACTTCGATCCGCCGGTTATTAAAACGCGGCGCGAGCACGCGTCGTATCGAAACCAGGCTCGAAGGCCGTTGGTATCTTTCGAGGTGGAATCGCATTACCGCATCGCTCGGGAGAATATTTTTGTCCGGCGGTCACGGCCGTTCCGTGATGGCCGCGACACAGAGGCGTCTAATTACTGGAATGGCATTAACGCCGCCCCCGTGCCTCCGGGTAATTGCTAGCGATTGCATCTTATTTCCGTTGATATTCAAGAACGCGAGGACGCGGCGCGCATCTCGCGGACTTTTTCGGGGAAAAGAAAAAAAAATGTCTCGCGGCGGGAAAACCAGGTCGAGCCGGCCGCCATCTTGGTTCTTCCGAAGGGAAGCGGCACGACGCGGCCCCCGTATGCAGAGGGCCGCATTTATTTCGCCGACTGTACGGATTTCATCCGAGTCGACAGCTGCCTCGGATGATATTTATTCCCTGGCCGATATACGGTCGCCGCGACGCGACGCGGCGCGACGCCTGGAAAAGGGAGCAAACGGGGGCGGGGGCGATCGACTCTTTTCCAGCCCCGATTTCTATCCGGCTCTTCTTCCGGACGCGGCAACCCGAGAATCCTCCCGCGGAAGGGAACCCTCGTCGTTTTCCGCTTTATTCCGTCCGACGCTCCCCGATTCTTGACCGTGGTCAGGGTTTCGGGATCTCGGAGGCAAATCCCCCGATTTCGGTGGCGGTCGGTGACTTCGCGTTTCTAGTCGAGAATATACCGAAAATTCAGTTTTTGGGAAAACAAACGCAAAGTAGGGTTGAAACGACTGACCGACCCAAAGCGAACCTCGACGTCCCGACGCCTATTTTATCGACGCTCGCCTTGCCCACGGATTTTCATTCTCCCTTTTGATGCATGATTTTTAATATTCGAGCGAATATATCCCGAGTCGAAATTTCCGCACTTCTTTGAGCTCGAGCTGAGCGGTTCCTCGATCGTAGTTATCCTTATCATCGAGGAGATAAAAATTTCAACTCGGGATGGCATCCCCGGACGTCTCTGAGATCATCTTTCCGCACAGATCGAAGAACCAGGGCGATTTCTGCTTCAGCGCGGCGTCTGCGAGGAAATCGAGATGGTGGAGTTGAGCGGAAGCGGGCAAGCGGCGGCGGCCGCCGCAACGGCGGCGACGGCGACGTCGACGTCGTCGCAGCCCTCGGGGTCGCAGGCGGCGACGGGGGCGGCGGGACGCGCCGGCGTCCTGGAGACGCAGGTGCGCGGCCAGTGGTACCGGGTCTTTGTCTCCCTCGAGGACGACTACCTCAGCATCTCCCTCGACGAGAGCTGCGAGGACGCCGGCCCGCTCAACGGCAACGCCAACAACAACGACATCGACTGCCTCAACGACCCCGACGTGCCCGACTCGGTCGCCAACCAGAAGCGGGTCGTCCGGGTCGTCAAGAGCGACAACAACGGCCTCGGGATCTCCATCAAGGGCGGCAAAGAGAACAAGATGCCCATCCTCATTTCCAAGATCTTCAAGGGCCTCTCGGCCGACCTCACCGAGCAGCTCTACGTGGGCGACGCCATCCTCGCGGTAAACGGCGAGGACCTCCGCGAGGCCACCCACGACGAGGCCGTCAAGGCCCTGAAGAGGGCCGGCAAGGTCGTCGAGCTCGAAGGTAAGTTCGATCCAGCACCTCGAGGAGGTGGAGGACCACCTGTCCCCACCTCCGAGGTCCTTCGTATTTTTTTTTCCCCCTCTTTTACGAGTCGACGCTCCCGATGTTGGCGCAACGTGGACCGATGGGGAAACACTCGATTTCGAAAAAAATCCATTTGCGGCCATTTGCCAGGAATTACGTGGCCCCCCCTCCTCGTCCCGTCGGGCCGATGCCGCGTAACCGTGTAGAGAATAATTAAGGACATTTGTCGCGACACGACCGGCCATTTGTTTGCCCGGCCATCGGCAAGGGCTAATTATCCCGAAATTATTCCGACAAACTTATCCCCCGGAGGGGTGAAAAATCGCCGGATAAATATGAGGAATGAAAACGCGAATAATTAGCGAGCGAACCCGCCGACCTCTCGAAATTCGTCAGTCCGCGCCGGAATGGCCGCACGCGCGGCTGCGGGGGCACGCACGGTAGGGGAGGGTAACTGGAACTGCAAACTGCACCGCCGTTACAGAGCCCCGGTAATTATCGGTAGTACTCGAATTAAAAGTGATTAACTTTCGCTCTATAATTATCGTTATTTGGCCGCGCGCTACGGAATGCGATAAAGCGAGTTGCGTTTTCGACGGCGGCCCCGTTTATTGTCCCGCCCTCTTTGTTCTCCTTTCCTTTTATCTCGCTGCCGCGATATTCCGTTCGTTCTTGTTTTAACGAAGTGCAGGAACGAGAAATGGCATATTAATTTCCGATCGATGGTTAACCTTGATAATTGGCCCGAGTGAATTAAAATGCATTAGAGCGCTCGCGAAGAAATAGGAACGGTATGGGTGGGAACGCGGTTGTCTATCGCGGGTTCGGCGTCGTTGGCGTGTATTGATATTAATTTCGTAAATGGGTCTTAAAGAGTTTCCGTCGAGTAAGAACTGTTCGGAACATTGGGCGGCGATCATTCGGGCCCATTCTCCGCCGTCGAAAGTTGTTTCGCGTTGTTTTTCCTATTTTTTTCCCCTTTTTTAATAACTCTATCAATTTCTGTCAGCGGGGATACGCATTGCCGGCACGTTCCGTTATTTCCATCGCGTCCGGACGTTGCCGTGATTTTGATTTATGGTTATCTCCGGGTCGTAAGCGCCGCTCGGCGAGGAAGTTTCACGACGGAAAACGAGTACCTACCGAGCAAGTACTCATAGGATAGGTCTCGGTTCCTCGCCTTGACCTCTTTGGCCGAGAGATCGATGATCTCGTGATCGCCAGATTTGTTAAGAACATTGAATTGAATTTTTGTTTCCCATTAAAATTCCAGGAAAAATGCACTCCTTCGACGGGGGTTAAACGGCGACGAGGATGCAGGACCTCCTTATCGGCCCGATTGCCGCCCAACGAGGCGGACGAATCTCGAGAAACGGTCAAAACGATAAAAACGACAGCCGTTTCGCCATTAAATGACCAATTCGAGCCGTCAATTAAAACGGAGTAGACTCCCGTCGCGGTATAAATTTCGCAGGCTGTTATCAATATTGAATTCCATCTGGCCGCTATCAGGGAGAGCCTCGCGAGAGGCCGCCTCGAAACGGGCCGAAGCTTTTAGTCGGATTAATTTACCGCCCCCGAAGGCCTCGCGATTCGAGGCCGACGGAGTCGTCGCCGAGGTAGTCGTCGACGAAAGGAATAGTCTGGGGGGGAGTCGGTAAAAAATTCCAAAGAATTTTCTCCAAAATCGTATACGTCGGGAGAAAATTCGGAGCGCCGGGATTCAAGCCCGATAAGAGGTGGAACAAACGGGAGAGGGTGGGGAGAATCGCGAAAGGGGGAGGATAAATTCCCTTCCACTCTCTTCGATCCTCCTCCGTCCTGAGTCGGCGTTTGTTTCTTGCGCGAAAGTGTCGCTCCTTTCCTCCCCCTCTACCCCCTCCCTTTTTCCGAGGGCCGACTTTTTCTCACTTAGGCGTTATTACAACCGGCAGAGGAGCTCGGCATCCAGGAAAACGACCGTCCTCGCACCCCTGTAACTAGGGGATGGTTAAACGCGCGGGCTCTTTTCTCGCGTCGTCGCCTCGAACGGGGATGGAAAGGCTTAGGAAGGACGAGGCCAGCAATTTTAACGACGACCTGGTTTCTTTCCATCCCCGGACAATCGACGGGGGAAATTGTCCGGGAACTTTCGGGGGGAGGGAGGGTGCCTCCCTATCGCGGATTCGGGCCGGAGAAGAAAATGTCCATTTTACGGGGAATAGAAAGAATGACATTTTCCAGCGTATTGCGGAATTACTTTTAATACCTCCGAAGAGGTCGGGAGGATTTTTACGTCGAGGGGCAACGTACTCGCGGAGGATCCATTATTGCGAGCGTCGCACGCGGCGAGTGACACGGCGATAAAGCGGAATTCCTGGGGATTCCTTGTTTCCCGGAATTCCGTGACCGAGGGAATCCTCGGCCAGGACCCCCCAGGACTCGGAAATCCGTGCCAGGCAGGGGAGACTGACCGGTTCTCCTTCTTTTTCCCTTTTTTCCGAAGCGGTCCTTTATTTTGAACACGTTGGTCCAAACGGGCCGGCGCCGTTGCAGGCGATCCGGATGCATTCCGCGTTTACCCTTTCGCGGAGCGCCAAGGAACCGGGAGCTCGATATGGATGCACTCGGGTGCACTTAGGCCAGAGCCATCCGGGTGTCGTTTCAGCGTCCAACTCTTACGGAGAGGGAAACGTGCAAATTATTAAACGAAATTTCTGTATCCGCGAGGAATCCTTAAAATCTCCTCTTAATATCTTTACCTCGAGTTGAGGTCGTTTGATATCGAAATTCGATCGGCGATGAAACCAGGTGGGGGGGTGAATTTTCACTTTTTTGACTTTTCAACCCCGTCTCTCCGGCCTCTCGGTTGACTCGCCGGGACCGGGGTAAAGTTTTAATTGATACGTTAAACGGTTATCGATTACCGTCAAATTACCCGACTTGGGGGCGCATTAGGGCGCAATTTAATATCTGCCGGGGCTAAGATAGCGAATTTACGCGGTTCGATGGAATCGATACGTGGGACGTGAGACGCGTCCAGGTCTCAGGAGTGAAGCGCCGCAACTCCCAGTTTGCGCCTTCTGCAGTCGGGACGGTTTGCTTCTCAGGTGCGGATATACCTAGGATACACGAGGCCCGGGGTACATATGTACTCCGAATACATTAGCCCTGAATTTTCCCGGGGACTGCGGGAGCGACTCGTGCCTTCGCCCTTCCTAGTTTCTCTTCCTGGTTTAAACGGAGCAGAACTTCCCCGGAAGGGGTCCGAAGTTGCCGGTGAAGTTTCGGCCGGGTCGTTACTTCGGATGCGGATTTCGCGTCCCTTCGTCGTCCCCGGTAGGAGAAAATTGCGGATTTTCTCGATCGCCCGAATATTTTCACGTCCCCTCCCTCCTGGGGGTAGATTCTCTCCGACCGTCGTCGACGCGATCTCGCCAAGTAAAGTCGACGACCGAGACATATCACGTCTTATTTCCGCCTTTTCAAATTTTCCATCACGAATACGTGAAGAATATTAAAGTGCTAAAATCGAACGGATGGTATTTTGTAATCGGGAAGTCGTAATTAATATTTTATACGACTCGCGAGGGCTTTTAGAAGAGGTACGAGAAACGAAAGGCGAAATCGTCGCCTTCGTCGTAACGGCGACGATCGCGCCTTCCTTATCGTCTATCGCTTTTGCGGATGGATTTTTATAACGAAAACTAGCGGACCCTTCCGTCGTAAAGCCCGTTAATTGGCACGGCGAACACGGGGAAACGGTCTTTAATGCAACGGGGATTTGCGCCGTTTCAGCCTTCGCAGCTAGAGATGCATCTATAATAAAGCGTTTCATAAAGCAATAAACGTGGGCGCATATAGTATACTAATAAACGCGGCGTCCAGATAAATTTTAACGATTCAATTATCGTTCCACGTGTCGTATACTCTTTCGGGTCGTATCGCGACGCGCACGCAACGTCGCCGTTTTGCGCGATAGTGGCCGACGAGTTTAATTAATAAACCAGACGTCAGAATGGACGCCGCTCGATCATTGACCGGCCCCCGGAATTTGACACGAGCCATTGTTACGTATATTGTTGCACCAAAGTACTTCGCGATCGCGGGAGAATAATGTCGCGCGTCCCTTTTGTTGCGATTCGTGATTTGCCGTTTAGCCATTATTTCGCGTTTAGTTTATTTCTCTGCGCATTCCAATCGGCGGAGGGACCTTCCATTGTTGCATCGGAATACCCCCGAATTGCATAATGACGCGTCGTTAAAAATATCCCTGGATTTCACGCGATCGAAAATCGGCGGGCGACATTTGCGAACGGATTTTGCGGATTGTCACCGGTTATAGGATATTTTTTTACGTCGATCGGATGATCATCCGTGGATCTCTTCGGATCTGCCTCGGATAGGAGGATGATTCATCGGGTGGGAAAGTAATGCTCTTGCTCGGGGCAATTCCGTTCATTCGCCTAATTGGAACGCATAATTCTCCCAGTCTCCAAGAAACTGTCGCATGATGGACGTTCCGGCTCTTCGTCTTGGAAATTGAGCCTTAAATCGGGCTCGGAAGAGCAGAGTCGACTCGATCTCGTATGAATCGCTGTCAAGATTGTAATTGAACCCCGAAATTAATTCCTTACCGATACGTTCTTTTTTTATTTTTTTTTATATAAAATTAAATCAACGGAAAAGAAACGATTTAATTCATTTCATTGGCATCTCGCGATGCTGGTGCATAAGGCACTCGAATGCACGAGATTGCATCGACCCGAATCTCAGGTGTCAGGATAAGTTCGTCCGTAATTCGAGAATCGAGTTCGCCGAATGCAAAACATTCCGACGTAATTAAACCTGCGTATCGTGTTCTTATTTCACCACCAAGGGGGTCAGGGTTCACTGGAGCTGCTCGGTGCACTAGGAAAAAATTAAATTACCCGGCTCGCCTTCGACTATCCTGACCTAATTGTCGCTGTATTACGTTGATCTATGCAATTATTTAT